AACCGAGGAGGCCACCAACCACCTCCACCTATCACAGCAGGACGCACGCATGGCCCTACTGGAGGCTGACCCCTATCTCACTGACCACGCCCGAGCAGCCTTCCCACCACCACCAGCACCTCTGCCAGGACTAGATGACGTGGATGCCGTGCCCTACCCACCCGTCCAGACAGAACGCTACCCCACCCGCATGTTCCTACCCGACCATTTTACAGGCCTGGCGGCACAGGCATTACCTGTTGCCATCAAGCGGGCCGAGTATTATGTCCTCAACTTGTTTTGTGGGCGTCGGCGTCCAGAGGATATTCAGGCATGTTTAGAGTGGACACACTACGACGTTGATTTTACGGTCACGGTCCTGTCCATAGAAATCGCTATCGACCCCGCCCTTGGGAATCTGATGCGGCCCCAGACCTTGGAGGTTTGGAAGGAACACATACGTGCGCGCAGGGTGGTCTTCTCTGGAGGTGGGCCCCCCTGCGAGACCTGGTCCGCCATCCGATGGGCTCGGGACATGGGGCCCCCACCACTGCGGTCCCACGAGGACTTCTGGGGTATGCTTGCCATTACACCGCGTCAGATGGAGCAGGTACGTGTTGGCAACGAGCTCCTAGGAACCATGATAGAACTTTTCGCCGTTCACCTTGCCGTCGGCACTTGTTGTTGGATGGAGCACCCAGTACCAGCGTCGTGGCGACAAGAGGCTGTGAGTTCATTATTGTGCCCACCTTTGCGTGCGATCACGTCGTCCCCAGCGGCCTCTACAACCGATTTCGATCAGTGCGAACACGGTCAGTGTGCTCGCGCGCCTCCACGAATTCTGGCCCTGAGGATGTGTACACTGCGTGATCGCCTTTTGGAAACGCCTGGCCGCGGACGTTGCTCCCACGGTCGGAACGCCCACGAAGTGCTCTTGGGTTTCGACGGTCAGAAGGATGAATGGCGGACGGCCAAAAAGAAGACATACCCCCCGGCGCTTTGTCAGGTCTTGGCTCACGGTATTGTGGATGCGGTCAATCATATGCGTGTGACGAGCGACCCTCAGGCATGGCCTGAGGACCTGGAGGAAAAGGAAGGGGCACTACGTGGGGTACTAGAGGCATTTTATGTAGCCTGGGACCCGTATCTAGGTACGAACGAGGAGTGGGTCCCAGATTTCGTAGGAGCCACGAGGCGACGCCTCCGCGCCGATCCTGAAAGCTCTAGGTTCTTGCCCTCCGAGCTCCCAGGTGAAAGGCCAGATGTCGATCTGCCCGAGCCGTCCCTCGTGTTCGACCCCACTGCCACTCCTCGGCAGGCAGGGCCTGCCGAGGCGGACGAAGAGCAGGAATACGCAGACGCCCTTGCCTTTCTAGAAGACTCAGCGTCTGCGTCACACGTCGCCCCTGCCTCTGCTCCCCCTCCTGTGCCCACTCCAGTCCAGCTCACGGACGCACAGCGTGACATGATTCAACGCAAACGCGCCGAGGCCAGAGATAGACGTAAGGCGCGCCTTGCCGCACGCATAGCTCCTTGGACGTTGCAGCCGAATTTCGGCAGCGACATCTTTGGCTAGAAGAAGGTTGGGTGGAGGATCAGGAGGGATACGACGACGACGATGATCGAGCGAGGGAGCGACCTGCCTTTTTCGCTTTCTTGCTCTCTCGCTGCCAGCCGCCCCCTCTGCTTGCCGCCCCGCGCTCTCTTTGTACCCTCCCCAGCCGCCTCTCGCCGCGCTGATTGATCCGTCAGTTTCTTTCCGACGTGCCTGGGTGTGGGTCAGGTCCAGGTGGCCCTGGCAGGCAAGCAGCCAGGGCCTGCGGGGCATGGACCCCCGCACACTTGTGTGCGGGGCGACTGCAGTCCTCCCCCTGTTGACCGAGTGCGCCCCCCCCCCTGCTGGTGCGGCCTCTCCAAGGCTGGCCGGTGGGGGGCAGCGCCGTTTCGCCTCCCCCCGCCCGCGAGGTACGGTGGCTGGCTCGCCAGCCTGCCAGCGAGCCTCTCTCGCTTGCCGCCGCTCTCTCGCATCCAACCTCTCTCGCTTGCGTGCCCGCCCTCCCTCTTGCTTGCACGCTGCCTGCCTCTCTTTGAAGGGACAGTTTGCGAGGAGGGCTTGTGCACGGCATGAGCAGCTGCAGAGGGGTAGCTGGGCGGGATTGTTCACTTCGTCGTGCGCGCTCTCTTGCGCCCACGCCAGCGCCATTTTGGCAGCTCATTGCATTGTGTATTCGTGGATCGGGCGAGAGTGCACCCTGCTGCGATGGTGTCGTCGCAGCTGCCAGTCAGTTGGAGATTGGGAAAGGGGTCCTCTCTTGGGCAGGGAACCAGCGCCACAATGCCTGCAGGACCGCCTTCCTTTGTGCAGCCTGCCGCCCCGCTCGTCCTAGCGCAGACCACGTTTTTCAGTCGCTGCCCGAGCGGGCCTGTGCGTCCACCGCCCTGCCGCGCGGGTTGAGCCCCGCGGCTGTCAGCTGATGATTCGATTCCGCGTGTCTCAGACCGCGGCGCGTCTCGTCTGATATGGGTCGGGTTGGTAGGTGGGATCGGTTTGGGATGGAGGGAGATCGATGACGTTTCAGCGGCGCTCGCTGGCCTGATGATGGCTCAGCCTCGACAGCCCGAGCCCGTGCCGCGCCTTTCTAGTGGGAGGTGCTCGTCGTGTCGGTCGTAAGGAGAGGTGGGTTTGGTGTACTGGTACTGTATACTGCAATCCTTAGGTGCCCGTGCGATCTCACTATTTCAGTTGCATCGCTAGCCGCAGCGCCACCGTAACTCGACAGGCTAGTTGCCTCAACGAGCAGGCAATCCAAAATCCCCCGTCCCCTCCCCCATCGTTCCACCAATCCTCAGCATCAACATCAGCATCGGTATCATCATCATCCATCATCATCATCATCATCATCATCATCATCATCATCATCATCATCATCATCAATCATCATCGCCTCCTCATCATCATCATCATCACACCTCATCATCATCATCATCATCATCATCATCATCAGCATCATCATCATCATCATCATCATCATCATCATCATCATCATCATCATCATCATCATCATCATCATCATCATCATCATCATCATCATCATCATCATCATCATCATCATCATCATCATCATCATCATCATCATCATCATCATCATCATCCATCATCATCATCATCATCATCATCATCATCATCATCGTCATCATCATCATCATCATCATCATCATCATCATCATCATCATCATCATCATCATCATCATCATCATCATCATCATCATCATCATCATAATCATCATCATCATCATCACCATCCTCATCATCATCCTCATCATCATCATCATCATCGTCATCGTCATCGTCATCAGCATCATCATCAGCCTCATCATCGTCAGCAGCAGCATCAGCATCAGCATCGTCATCATCAGCACCATAATCATCATCAGCAGCAGCTGCATGATCAGCATCATCATCATGGTCAGCATCAGCATCATCATCATCAGCATCATCATCAGCATCAGCATCTGCATCATCATCAATGCCATAATCCTCACCATCATCATCATCACCATCACCATCATCCGTATAAGCATAAGTATAACCATCAGCATCATCATCACCAACAGCATCATCATCAACATCAGCATCGTCGTCATCATCAGCATCGTCGTCATCATCAGCATCAGCATCATCAGCAGCATCGTCGTCGTCAGCATCGACATCATCACCATCACCAACGCCACTAACCACGCCATAATAATCAGCCTCGTCAGTCCCATCATCATCATCATCATCATCATCATCATCATCATCATCATCATCATCATCAGCATCAGCATCAGCATCAGCATCAGCATCATCATCAGCATCATCATCATCAGCAGCAGCAGCAGGAGAGCCCATCGGAATCAGCAGCAGCACCACCGCCACCACCACAGCAATCATCAACAGTAGCAGCAACATGGTTATCAGCCGCAGCATCCTAGCTCCCAGCATTCTCATCATCAGCAGCAGCATCATTATTAGCCTCATCAGCAGCAGCATCATCATCCTCGTCATCATCATCAGCAGCATCATCAGCATCATCTTCATCATCACCACCATCATAATGTCCTCATCAGCATCAGCATCAGCATCATCAGCAGCCACATCAGCATAACCATCATCATCAGCAGCAACAGCATCATCATCATCCTCATCAGCATCATCATCGTTGTCGTCGTCGTCATCATGATCATCATCAGCATCATCATCATCAGCATCATCATCATCATCAGCATCGTCATCATCGTCATCGTCCTCATCCTCATCCGCATCCTCATCCGCATAATCAGCAGCATCGGCACTGTCATCATCATCATCATCATCATCAGCAGCATCATCATCAGCAGCAGCATCATCATGATCATCCTCATAGGTATCACCATCAGCATCAGCATCATCACCATCAGTTCCCTGATAATCATCATCATCATCAGCAGCATCATCATCACCATCATCATCACCACCAGCATCAGCATCAGCATCAGCATAAGCATAAGCCTCAGCAGCACCAACATCAGCATCTCCCCCCTCCCTCCCTCCCTCCTCCCTCCCTCATCGATCCCCCTCCCCTCCCTCTCCTGCCCGCCCCTCCTCTCTCCCCCCTTCCTCACTCCCTTCCTTCCCTGGGGAAACCAGAAGATACGGATACCGCTACTCCCCGAACCTCCCAGGGAAAGTTCTGACCAGAATTTCGAGGCGAATATAGCGGTGGCGATGAGAGCCTCCCAGAAGGCCCGAAAAGGCGAGAACGGGGCAGAGGTAGCGGTATCAGTACCTTTTCCTCCTCTGACTCCCCCCCCACCCCTCTCCCTCCCCCCTGGCCAGCGGCTGGCCTGGGGGGGAAGTGCTAGGGGGCGGGCTTTCTCAAATGCTCGAGAGTTCTCCGGCCGTCTGAAAAGTCGTCTGAGCCTGCCCCGAGGGCACCGAAAACCTCTCGGAACCTCCCTTCTCACTTCCCCCCCTCGCTGGTCGCCAACCCAGGGCGCGCCTGGGTCATCACCACCGCCAGGATCGGGCGGCCCCCGTTGGGGTCGTACTTGAACGCGCTGCTCGCGGCCCCGCCCCAGAGCCGTACCCCGGGCACACCGTCGAACCACCGCCCCCAGGCGGGCGCGCCGCGCCTGCGGGAGCCAGGCAGACGGACCCGAATGGGCAGGTCGCGCGGGCGGAACATTAAATGGAGCAGTCGGGCTTCCAAGCAAGCGAACGGGAGGACCCTAACGGGCGGGTCGAGCGGCGGACCCAATCGGCGAGTCGGGTGGGCCCTAACTGGCGGGTCGGGCGGGCATACGCTCACGGCAGGGTCGGGCGGGCAGGCCTTCACGGGCAGGTCGGGCGGGACATTGAAGCGGGCATGCGGGCTTCCAAACAAGCGAACGGGCGGACCCTAATAGGCGGGCCGGGCAGGCGGACCCTAACGGGCGGGTCGGGCGGGCGGGCCCCAACAAGCGAATCGGGCGGGCGGGGCATTGAAGCGAACTTCACAAAGTGTGAAGTAGCCTCAAGCGAGAGCTCGATTCCTTAGTAAATTGAAGAAAATCTCGTGCGAGAGCGCGATTCCTTGATTCCTTGACGTCAAGAGCGCAGCACCCGAAATTGCGAGGGAGTCCCAGGCGAGAGCGCGATTCTTGCGTAAGTTGCGAGGAGGCATCGGGCGCGAGCGCGATCCTGGGAGCGTTGTTGTAGCCGGAGTCCAGCAATACAGCTTGAGCAGGAAGAACAATCCCTGACAAATACAAGGTGCGAGCCCCAGAGCCCAGAGAGACACTTCAAGTGAAAAACACACTGGGCACTGCTGGGGGTCAACAACAATTACTCGGAGCTGAAAATCGAACAACTATTTTACCAAAAGTGACGATGCTTACACATGCAACATGCGTACGACTTGATGGCTCACCCGTTCATACAGGAATTATGTCATGCATCGGGGGCCCGACATTCCCTCATCCAGATCTCCCGCCCGAGCAGATCGAGTCAGCACATCTCCCGCGGCACCTTACTATCTTCACACCGCACTGCAGATTTGGGAAGCTGCGAAGGAGAAGACCACGATGAACCAAACTCACGCCATTCGATTCGTTTCTGAGGAGAGATCGAGTGGGGAAAACTATACCCAAACTACCTTACAAGTAGAAAAGGGGGACGAGGAAAGCGGGCACAGGTGGAAGATGTGGGAATCATTTCTGATGTTCGGGGCTACCTTGATGGCTGCCCGACAGAAAAGTCTTGGGTCACCCTGCGGAATGTATATACACGTATTCGGGGCCCTTTCAGGGCCTTTGCCAGGACCTTGTGGGACCCTCATGGAGCCGCCCAGAAGATCTCCAGAGGCGATGCTGAGACGGTGGCTCCACTCCTAAGCAACAAGCTAGGGCGTATATAGCGTAAGCGTTGTTGTAGGAGGGCGGTTTGCGAAGCCGAGGCGAGAGCGCCTCTCCCGAGTGAAAGCTGGGAATCTCGAGCGGGAACGCTGGTTTGGGTAAAGTTCAGCGACGAACAACATCAACAGTCCTGGGTATCAAACTGAAAACTGTCGAGCAGGAGCGTAGTTAATTGTAGGGGGCAGTTTGCGGCTCGAGGCGAGAGTGCCACCCCTGAGTCGAAAACAAAGAAGTATCGAGCAGGACCGCTGATTCTGTGGGAGGGCCATACGGGCACCAGTCCCGAGTACAAAGTCGAAAATCTTGAGCGGGAGCGTTGTTGTAGTAGTTTGGAGGCCGTTTCGGCGTACCCCCGAAACGCTAGAGCGCGAGCCTCGCTTGCAAGAAACAGGTGGCCCGCGCCAAGGCGAAAGCGGCAGAGCGCCTACGGGGGATCCAACAACAACAATTGTTCATCAGTCCGTAAGAAGCCCATCAGTTTAAGACTGCTCGCAACATGGATACCCAAACCCTTGATGCCCGCCCTCTTCGCCGTCGATCGTACCGATATATATATATATACACATACATGTATCCCTCTCTTTCTTTCTGTCTCTCTCTCTCTGAGGGTATGTATACAAATATGTATGTACACATGTATAAGATGTGTCTAGTTGCCACGTGTAGTTGGCACGGCCCTGACAAAGGAAGAGGAAGGAGAGAAAAAAGGTGTGGAATAGTTCAGGATGAGGAAGGGAGAGGTCGGAAACATAAAATGGTTGCCTGCAAAGAGAAAGGGAAGGGAGAGGCAACGAGAAGGGAGGGTGGCAAGAGGGAGGAAGCAGGATTGAGACGGAAAACGTTTAGCAGGAGGGAGAGGAGAGAGGAACAGGAAGATTGACAGGCGACCTACTGGGCGGGTCGTGCGGGCGGACCCATCCCGCGGATCGGGTGGGCAGATGCTAACGGGCGGGTCTAGCGGGCGGGGCGTTGAAGCGGGCGGGCAGGCTTCCAGGCAAGGGAACGAGCGGACCCTAGCGGGCAGGTCGGGCATGCGGACACTAACAGGCGGGTCGGGCGGCCTGACCCTAACGAGAGGGTCGGGCGGGCAAACGCTCGCGAGCGGGTCGGGCGGGACAGGAAAGCGGGCGGGCTTCCACGCAGGCGAATGTGTGGATCTTAACGAAGGCGGCACCACGAATCTGGAGTCTTTACGAAAAAAGCTCGCGCGAGAGCGCGATTCCTGGGCTTCGAGAGCGCAGCGCTTCAGTACATTGCGAGGAAGTCCCTGGCGAGACTGCGACTCCTGAGTACAGTCTAAGGAAAACTCGAGCGAGAGCGCGATCCCTTCACAAAATATGAAGACGTCTAAGGCAGGAGCCGTTTTCTTCGTCGGGGGGCCAACAGCACAGCTTGAGCAGGAAGAAATACCCTGACAGAAACCAAGTGCGAGCCCCGGAGTGCCACTTCAACTGAGAAAGCACACTGGGAACTGGCGCGGGGGATCAACACTTGGCTTCTTCAGAAATGGAAATCCTTTTTGCTGGTATTGGTAGTGGTGTCAGCGCATCGGTATCCGAGCGCCGCTGCAGCTCCCCCAGGCAGCTCAGCCCCAGCCCCCGGTCGTTGTAGGGGTTCGCGTTCCTCGGCGGTAGCTTGCCACCCTCGTCGATGATCCTCAGAACATGTGCTAGCGCCAAATGTGTGCTTGTCCACGGAAGCTCTTCCATACGGCGCAGAGATAGTGTGGGAAGGGCCGACACAAGCTGCGCGCTATCGGCGGAGCCAAACTGGGCAACACACACACACACACACACACACACACACACATTGGGCTACCACACGTTCAGAGAATGATCGACCTCGGCCAGTAGCGCCGTCTGGTCCGTGAGCATCTGCTCCGCCGACGATGGCGTCAGGATGCGGGCCCCGCTCTCGGGGTGCTTGCCTGGGAGGACGCCGACTATACACCCATGCCAACCCTGGCCAGGCCAGCCCTGGACCCGGGATAACTGCAAACAGCGCAGGCGCCCTCGGAGCTTTGCCAGAAGCTTCTGTCCCGGGCCCTGGGGACTGACCTGGCCAGGGCCGCTACTGGTGCACAGCTGGCGCCCCCGGGGGACGCCAACCGCACCCTGCGCCCAGGATCGGTGCCTGCACCCTCCTGGCTCGGCCAGGAGGGCGCAGCAGTGCACCGGGCCCGGGCCCGGGCTCGGCCCCACGGCCAGGACCGCCGTGCGCGCACAGGCTGGCGCCCCCCCTGGCGTCCCCGCGGTGGCCCCCGGAGACCACCGCGAGCAGGAACTTGGAGTAGTCGCTGAGCGTGCTCAGCAGCCCCCCCTCCAGGCTCGTAAGGGCCCCTCCGCCTGGGAGATGGAGGCAAAGTGGCACCACCAGCAACAGCAGCGCGAGGAGAAAGGAAGGGGGTCCTGCTTAGTCCCTCCCCGCTCGAGGCATCCCCAGCTCGGGGAGGCATCGTGGACCTCCTCGCTGGAGATGGCGCCCCTAGTGGTGGCGGTGGTCTGCCCGTCACGGGAAAGCAAACGAGGACCATGACGAAGACTGAACGCGGAAACGTCGGCGTCGATCCTGGTCACCGTCGATCCGTCGGTCATCCTCACGAATCGGCATCGGCGAGCATGGACCATGATCAAGACCGGCGTTGACAAGATCCCGCGACATCTTGGCGATGGCTATTTGGAGGCGGCCAGGGGGTCTGAGGTGGATGGGCCCCGAGAGAATCTTTCAAGCCGGGTGGATGAGAGCATGTCCGCTCAGAATCGGCCCCTGGATCCCTCCCGGGGAACACCTCGTGCAGTTTTTCAACCCGGATCCGTTTGGGATGGCCCCCGGGCCCGAAAGCGGCCCCCGAAGACCGAAAAGAGCAATAAAAATAAAAAACTCCCACGAACTTCCCACACCTCCCTGCTGGCCGGAGCCAGTGCTGGGCCACCTCGGACCTCCGGCCGTCTCCAGATGGCCATCATGGCCGTCGTGCTTCCTCCCACGAGCTTCCACTTCCTCCGATCCACCGGACGGCACGCGGCACCGCGCCTGCCAGCGGCTGGGGGCTCCCCGGCGCGGCGGGTCCACCCGCGCCAGGCGCAGCGACCGCCCGTTGCCGCCGAAGCGCGGCGACCGCGTGCAGCGGTACAGCGCGGAGAGCCTCCGCGCGTGGCCAGCCGAGGTCGCGTCGAAGCGGGTGTCCTCTCGCTGGGCGTTGCTCGAAAAGGAGGGGAGGGGGTGTACAGTAAAAGCTGAGGGCAGGGATGCGCGGTGAGGATGCAAGCCCCGTGGACGCCCATGCCGAAGCTTCTCGAGCGGGGCTGGCCATCGAGTGGTGAAGGACGGACCGAAAAGGCAAGGATGTAATGGTACCCTTGGGAAGGTGACCCAGTCTCGCCATCGGTTTCGACTGTAAGCGGAGGGGGGAGGAAAGCTGCGACTCTCTTGTACCTCTGGGGCCCCACACGGGCCGCTGTAGGGACCCTCTTCCCGCAACCCTCGACCCCCCCACTTACCTAGAGGCCTCTTGATGGGGTGCGAGCAGATGGGGCTGGAGGATGGCGCCGCATCGTCGATGCATCGACGATGCATCGGCGACATTGGCGATACATCGGCGACGTGGGCGTGGAGAAAATCGAGCTTCACATCGAACCGCATCGCCGATGTATCGGCGGTGCGGCGCGATCCTCCGACCCCATCTACTTCGACCCCATCTGGGAGACCTCGATTACAGTCGATCGCGGTGAGGATGCAAGGGCCTTGGACGCCCATGCCAAGGCTGTTCGAGCGGGGCTGGCCATCGAAAGTGGCTGAGGATGGATCGAAGATGACCGAAGAGGCGACGATGACAGGGTACCCCTGGGAAGTCGATCATCCTGACTGTCAGGGTTGACTGCGCCGCCCCCTCACTACAAAACGCCCGACTCTCGGAGCTCCGCTCGGCATCCGGCCCTCCGCGCCTCCCGCTCGGCAGGTGCCGCGCGCGGTCGCCGACCCAGACGCCCAATGCCTCGACCAGGGGCTCTCGCAGGGCCCCGGGGCCGTCAACAGAACGGCTCCCCCAGGACTTGGGCCGTCTAGGCGGCCTCCTGTGGGCCTCTTGGAGCTCCCATGGGACCCTTCTGGGACCCTCTGGAGCCTGTCTTGGGCCGTCCTGGGACTCTCTTGGGTCGTCTTGGAGCCCTCTTGGGCCGTCTTGGGACCCTCTTGGGGGCCTATGGGGTGGTCTTGGGGCGATACTGGGGGCCTCTTGGGTCGTCTTGGACGCTGTCAGGGCCGAAGAAGCGAAAATGCTAAAAACATTCGCTTCCGAAGGGAATGCGACGATTTGTGCCTCTTGGAGGCTCTCTGGAGGGCCCCTATGGCCGTCTAGAAGTCGTCTTGGGCCCGCTTGGAGCGCTCTTGGGCCATTTGGGATGTATCTTAAGGCGCCTTGGGGCTGTCGGGGAGCTCTTCCGACAGGTGCACCAGGGCTGGGGTGTACGGCCAAAATGTATGGGGTGGTCGGCCATCCAGTATAGGGATAAGCACACTTACACACACACACACACACACACACACACACACACACACACACACACACACGCGCGCACGCACGCACGCACGCACGCACGCACGCACGCACGCACACACACACACACACACACACACACACACACACACACACACACACGTACACGCATACATACATACACAGACACACAACAACAAGAAACGTTGCGGCGCGTGGGAATGCGCAAAGGGTATGAGACATTAGCTGGCAGAAGCGCACTATATATATATGTGTATATATACATGTGTATGTACACACAACTACGCACATGAAAGCATACGTCATTGTGCGCATTGGCGAAATGCACATACACACATATGTAAGTATATATACATATGTATATAAACATACAGTCATGTGCATTTGAATGTGTACACACATATATACGTATACACATGTAGGTGAGTGGGTGCGCAGGCGCAGTTTCATGATGCGCGCAGCGATGCAAAAACGCATACATATATGAACGGGACGAAAGAGGGATAAGGGAGAGAGAGAGAGAGAGAGATAAGAGAGAGAGAGAGGGAGAGGGAATACATGGAGAGAGGCACAGAGAGAAATACATGCACACGGACATATGAAGAAAGAGAGAGAGAGAGGAGGGGTGCGCGTGGGAAAAAAAGAGAAGGAAAGAAAGAGAGAGAGAGAGAGAGAGACTGAGGCAAAGGGGGAACTACGAAACAACGGAGCGCCGCGCTGACGCGCGCCTCTGTCTGACTACGCTGCGATTCTGCCTGCCGCGGCGCTGCGATCCTGCGCGGCAGGCGCCCCCACCCCCCTTCCCCTCCCCAGCGCTCCATCTTACGTCCTGGTCCTCCCACTCGGCCCCCGCCGCGCGCGCAGGGCCCCCGCGCTCTGCCATTGGCGCGCGCTCGGGGGTCGCGGCGGGAACATCGCAACGTAGCTCGCATGTGCCTGGCACGCCGCCCCCTCCTCGGCCCCCCCCCCGCCCATCCCTCACTGCGGCACTGACGGAAACGCGCCGCTCGATTCTCCATGATTCTGCTCCGCTGCACACCCCCACGCACTCACACGCGCTGCAGCAGTATCTACGCGCGCTTCGCGCAGCCACCTCATGTTGTAAAGCTGGGGGTCAGGGGAGAGCTGGCGAGGGAAGTAGTCGGCCGCTACTTTTGGGCGGGCGGGGAAAGCGGGCGAACGGCAAACGTGTGCGGGGGGATAAAAACAAACGAGGGGCTCAAGAATGGTCGCAAAGGGGAAAAATAAAAGAACATACATGTGTGCGCATTTGCCCTCTCCTCCATTTTCGCAATATCACCCCGCCCGCACCCTCGCCGCCTCTCGAAGTATCGTCTGGTAGCGTGGCATGCGCGCGCCAGTAAACAGGCGTTCGCAATGCATGCGTACGCGCATTCGTCTTTCTACAAGCGTGCGTGCACTGTGTGCACGTGCGGCGTGCGTGCGTAACCCATGCTCACCCATGATGTATGCGTAGCAATGTGTGGATGCTGGGTGCGATCGCAGAAGTGTGCACGCGCACACCTGCATGCACGCATCTGCTTTCGCCGCCCCGGGCACCAGGGAGGAAGGAGTGACCGAGGAGGGAGGGGGCAGGGAAGAGGGAGGGGGTCGTCATCCCCCCCTCTGCCGCCTCCCGAGAGGCGCCCCTGGGGGCGGCTGGCTCTCTGTCGCCACTCGATCGCAAAGTTGCGTCACCAATGCCTTCGCTGCCCTGAGCAGGAGGCGAGGACGAAGAAGGGCCTCCTCTCTGCCCCTCCTCCCCCCTACCTTCCTCCTCCCTCCCACGGAATGAAAAGACGAGGACGAAGACGAGGACGAGGAAACGTAACAGGGCGCGGAGGACGAGGCCCAAAGTTTCGACAAGCGCGCGAGGACACCGAAGGGGAACCCTGAGAGGGAGAGATGTGCGTGCGCATGTTTTTGTGTTTTGCTGGGAAAAACAAAAAACGCATGTACCTTGGCGCTTGTTCAATTATATTCCTCGTCCGTAATGTTATTTCGGTTTGTTGATTGCTATTGTTTTTCAGCAAGGAATCTGTCATCCGATGCGTGGTTGTGTTTGCGTGTAGGATAGCTGTATGTGCGCGTGTTTGTATGGACTCTTCCTCATCTGTGGGAAAAATGACGGTAACCTCTTTTCCATGCCGGATATGCGATGTCCTGATTTTTTCAATACGGGGTCCCTGGCAGACCCTTTCCCAGGGACCGGCTTTTCATACCGAGTCGTCCTTTGACGGTCCCGAGGCCTGGTAAGGGCCCCCAGGGGCCAAAAATGAGGAAACTACCTTCCGTCGTGATTTTTTCCTAACTCGAGTCGAGGGGGTTAGGGCATTCAAAGAATCACGACGTCGCATCTCTGGCCGCCGCGGCTGCGGGCGGCCGCCGCTGGCGCTTCGACCCCTGCCGCCGGAGGGCGCGCGCGGCGCGGAGGGGCTGGCGAGGGCGGGGAGGTCCAGGGGCCCAGCGGCCGCGGAGCGAGGCGCAACGGGCGCACTCGTGCCCCGCGCCAGGCCGCCAGGGCCCAGGGACGGACTCTCTTCCTGGGCTCGGCGCCTGAGGTGCTGCCGGCCCGGCCCTCCCCGGGGCCTCTGCGGCGAAGGGCCGCGGAGGCGAAGACGCGGAAAGGAGCACGACGGGCGCGCTCGCGCGCCGGGCCCCCCGGGGGCCCTCGGGGACCGTTCCAGCGCGAGGTCTGCTTCGCGCTGCCCCCCCCCCTCCCGCCCACCCAATGGGCTGAATGTTCCCTGAGGCCCCGGCGTTGCAACGTCTTTCGAGCGGGGCGCCTTCGCCCGGCTTCGGGCCCTGGGACGCTCACAGATGGACCCGGCCCGAAGACTGGCGCAGCAGGGAGGGGTTCAGGGCTCCGGCCGTGATTTTTGACGGGGCCGCGACTTGTTCGCAACGTCGGGTTGGCGCCTGGGGCCTGGGCCGTGATTTCAGGCTTGCGCAAACGGTGCGTGTCGGCTCACGACGCGGAGGCTCGGGGTCCCGCATGCCCAGGGGCCGGAACACGCGCTCTGCGAGGTAGTCGACCAGCTTTCTGCCAGTCTTCACCTCGACGAGGTGGCCGAGGATGTCGTAGCTGTAGCCGTACCTGCAAGGAGAGAGAACACGTGACCATGACCAAGAACCAAGACTGAACGCAGAAATGTCGGAGTCGATCTTGGTCATAGTCCATCTTGATCACCCCGACAAGATCCCGCAGCATCTTGGCCCTGGTCAATCGTGTTCCTTCCCTCGAGCACCCGTACAGCTGCCCAGGGTGGCTGAACAGCGGCAGCTTCGCCAGCTCCCCCACCTAGGGCAACGAGAGCTGTGCATACCCGCTGCCCCTGGCCAGGCCCCTCCTGGGCCCAGGAGCGGTGGATGCGCCCTGCTGGCTGGGCCAGGAAGGCGTACATCGCTCAGGAAGGCGTACATCGCTCCTGGGCCAAGCCTTCCGGTCAGGCCAGCCCTCCTGGGCGTACATCGCTCCTGGGCCAAGCCCTCCTGGGCGTACATCGCTCCTGAGCCTGAGGAGGATGGGCCTGGCCAGGGGCATGTGCAGGTCCTGTCGCCCGACCACCCACTGGCCCAGGTCCCGGATGCTCCCGCTGTCGACCGCCCTCACCAGGGGCCCGTAGATCTCGCACCAGGCCCTCTCGCGGGCGCTGCGCACCTTCGGCCCGTCGATGCCCGGGGCCAGCCCAGAGGAGATCCCGGAGGTGTGCGTCAGCAGATGGCGTATCCGGATCGGCCGGCTCGCGGGCACCACCCGGTCCCAGTCCTGCACCGTCAAGACATATCCACATCCACCGCGTTGGGGCCTTTGCTGGGCATATCGGGGACTGGTGGACATGGATATCTGCCCGCCCCAAAAAAGTGAGAGATTCCACATCCACCGCTCCGTGGGGTCCCAGGGAACGACTCCGCAGCGGTGGGATTTTGACGGTGGAAGTCCGGCTTGCCGTCCGCGCCCTCCAGCACCACCCGCATGTGCGAGAAGGCCGGCAGGTGCTTCCCCAGCTCGTCGTCGAGCCCCAGCAGCCTGGCCTCGACCAGCTGCATCACGGCCGCGGCTATCACACACTTGGTCATGGAGTAGACGCGGACCAAGGAGTCCTCTTCGAGAACCAAACTCTTGGAGGTCCGCGCGGAGTTCTTGGAAAGGGAGCTGAACACCCCTCTCCGCTCCCCTTCCCTGGCGCGCGCAGCGCGCCGGGGGCGGCGCCGAAGATATGGAGGGGCGCCCAGCGCCGCGACACAACCTTGAGATCCGACGACGCGAAAAATGCAGAACATCGTTAAACATCAAAATGTTAGCCAGCGTGGACACCAGACAATGAGTTATTCCAGGGTGAAGCTATGCGGTGTAAACGCTTTGGTGAAGGCTATGTGGTGTGAGCTGGTGAGGTGAAAAAACTATGCGCTGCGAACAATGTGGTGTAAACTATTTCGCGCAAGCTAGATGGTGCAAACCGGAGGTGAAAGCTATGGGGTATAAACTATGTGCTGCAAGTTATGTTATGTAATAGACGCGGCGTAAGCTATGTGGTGCAAACTACGTGGTGTAACCCATGTGGTGCAAGTTATGCGGTGAATGCCAAGTCGCGCAAGCTCAGAGCACGGGGCGCCAAAGAAGCGGCACGGGCGGCAACGTGGCGCAACCTCGCCATACCCCCCCCAAGCGCGGGGCGCCCACGAGGCGCCCACGAGGCGGCACTGGCGGCAACGTGGCGCAACCTCGCCATACCCCCCCCAAGCGCGGGGCGCCCGCGAGGCGCCCACGAGGCGGCACGGGCGGCAACGTGGCTCGACCTCGGCGTACCCCCCCAGCGCACGAGGCTCAACCGAGGCGGTACGGGCGGCGAGGTGGCGCAGCCTCGGCGTAACCCCCAAGCGCGGAGAGCCCACGAGGCGCCCAAGAGGCGGCACGACATAGACCCCCCGGGCACGAGGCGCCATCGCGGCGGCACGGGCGGCAACGTGGCGCAACCTCGGCATACCCCCCCAAGCGCGGGGCGCCCGCCAGACGCCCACGAAGCGGCACGGGCAGCAACGTTGCGAAAACCCAGAATACCGAACCCATTTTTGCACGAAAAACATCTAAGTGCAAGCACTGTTTGGGGAATCGCTACCAAAGCCATACGTTCCATCCTCCAGCGGCACGTCTCGAGCCGGATCGATCTGTGTGGGAGGGACCGAAACCCAGCGAGAACGCCGGGTGAGAAAAAAAAAAAAAAGTGACGCCCAGGCGTCAGGGAAGGAGTCCGCGCAGACCTTCGAAAGTATATGTTCATGCCACTCCCAAAAACCCAATGTCTCTTTAATCTTCGAAACTGGGCTCCCGGAAAGCCTGACCCTTTCCCCAAGGCTGGCTTTCCATCCCGAGCCGTTCTTCGACGGCCCCTGGGTCTGCCGAGGACCCCCCGCGGCCAGCAACATAAGACAAAAAACATGTTACTTCCGTCGATACGCTGCAGGCACTTGAACCGAGCATCGCTGCCACTGCAGCGCGTGATTGCACATCTTTTGCATGAGCAGCTGCAGGTCTGCACGAATACATCTGTCTGTTGCGCGAAGCTGTTGAGCGAGCCGAAACCACCGAGGCTCGAGACTAGAGGTCTTTAGACAGGTCCTGGAGCCAGGCGGGGACCATGCGCCATCACAGCTTGAGAACTCTTTGGTTTCATCGTGACTTCTCTCGACTCTCGATGCGCTGCAAGCCTAGGCTGCTTGGCCCTCCCGTCCTTGGTCATGGGCGTGCCAGCCTCCACGTCCGCGTACCCGGCCTCCTCCAGCAGCTCCAGCCTCGGGTGCGCCAAATAGGGGGCCCAAGAAGGAGGGGGTCTTGGTGCATCATGGCCCATGTGCGCGGACAAGGGGGGGGGCAGGGGGCGTGTTGAAAGAATAAATAGGAGAAAGACAAAAAAAGGGGGCACCATGAGATCCGCCCCCCTGTCCCCACCCCCCCTTCGACGCCCCTGGTGGCTTTCGGGCCATTACTCGGGCCTCCGGCGGCCGTCTGGAGCGATCCGGCTATTGGAAAGCACCGCAGCACAAGAGAACCTCCAAGCACTACCGAAAACTGCCTCCCCGCTTGCCGCCCCCAGACCCACTGGATATCCGCGAAACCCATATAGCCCTCACGCCCCTCTTGTAGGTGTCGACGACCGCACACGTATCCCCACCAACCATCGAGTCTCCTCAAACGATGGGAGGCGGGAGTAGAATTCGGACTTCGCCACGTGCTCGACGAATTCCGAACCCGTGCCCCGCCGCTCATCGACTTGCCTGAATCGTTGATCGGCAAGGGTAGGGCTCAGATTTCGCCGCCGATCTTAGGGGAACAAACAATGACATAAGCATAAAAACTCTGAGGTCCGCGCGGATTCCTCTGATCGGCGCTGCTGACCGCCCTCCCTAGCGCGAGGAGCGCGCCAGGGGCGGCGGCGGAGGCGCTGCCAGGGAGGCCCCAGCGCCGATCCAAGAAATCCGCGCGGACTTCCGAGCTTGTATGCTTATGCCACTAGGTCTTGGACGCCCCTGGCAGCTGCGGCAATGCTGATTTTCGACCCGGAAGACGTTCTGACCAGAATTTCGAGGCGAATCCAGCAATGGTGACGAAGGTCTCCGAGGAGGCTCCAAAAAGGCTGGAACGAGGCAGGGGTAGCGGTATCGGTACCTTTCGGCTACACATCAGAATGACCCTAGGCCTTTGGTGCGCGACTTTCGGGTGCCGCGGGGAGGCCGAATCGGAGCGCCCGAGCCACTGTTATCGCATCGCAGTCAGTCATCCGGGGACCCAAATATGCCTGCACCACAAGTGACTCCGGCGAAAGGCGACTACGCAAGTGAACGTTTTCTTATTCAGCTTTTAGACACTGGGCGGAAAGAGGGGGGAGGGGGAGGTTTGGCTCTGGACCTGCTTAGTGCGACTGTTTGCAGCATGGGGGGGAGAATCCACCTGCTGGAAACAGACACCATAAACAGCCAAGATCTACTCCATGATGAGGGTGCGAGGGTCCGCGCCGATCGGTAAAACAACGAATTAGAGAATGAACAAAATTGATCGACCGCAGAATATATATATATATATATATATATATATATGTGTGTGTGTCTCGTCCGGAATATTCGTCAGTGCATATATATATATATATATATATATATATATATACGTGGGAATTATACGCATTCTTCCTAAAGTATACGAAAATGTAAGGTTTGGGGTATATCTATTTTCCTGAGCTGCCTCTATACGCAACAAGCAACACGTAGCGTGTTGACACGGAGCTCAACATGTAGACTAAAAACGTAGGTCTGGCGCGATACGTTCGCCCAAGCTTGGGCCAACACGTGTCGAGTCAACACGCAGCGTGTCGATACGCATGTTTTGAACACGGCATGTGTTGCGTCTCAAAACGTGCGTATCAGGGCAGCTAAGCTATTGGTTGTAGTCGGTCCCCTACCCGAAGTTGTTCCTCCGCTTAGCTCTTGGACGCCCCTGGCAGCCGCCCGCCCACGTAGACTGCCGCGGCCACGCCGGGCCAGCGCCCGCGCTCCACGGGCACTCGCAGCTGCCGGCGGAGGCGCTCCACGTCCCGCTGCGCCAGACTCGGCGCGCGGGGAGCGCCCAGGGCCCGCTTCCTGCCAGAGGCGGCGACCTTCTGATGGTGATGGTAATGATTGCGATGGTGATGGTAATCGTGATGGTGACGGTGCTGGCGACAATCATGATGACGATTGCGATAGCGATGAGGAGTATGAGGATGGTGATGGTGATGGTTATGGTGGCGATGACTATGACACTGATGATGGTGATGCTAATGATGACGATGGCGATAAGGATGGCGACAATGACGATGGTGATGAAGCCGATGATGATGATGGCGATGATGATGATGATAATGATGAACTTAATGTTGGTGGTGCCAATGAGGGTGATGATGACGATGATGATGATGACAATGGATACGGTGATGATGATGATGATAATGATGACGATGCTGGTGGTGGAATGACAATGATGATGGTGATGGTGACAATGACGATGGAAATGACGATGATACGAATGATAATGACATAATGATGACGGTGACAACGATGATGACAATGATGATCATGAAAACGATGTTGACAATAGAAATGACTGTGATGGTGTTGGTGATGGTAGTGGTTAAGATGACGCGGTGACAAGACGATGACGATGGAGATGACAATAACGATGATGATGATGAACACGATGATGACGATATGGATGATACGAATGATGATGGCGATGGTGGCGATGACGATGGCGATGGCGATGCTGATGACGATGACGGTAATGATGATGATGGTGATGGTGACGACGGTGATGATGATGATGATGGTTATGATGGTGATGGAGATGATGGTGGTGATGGTGATGGTGACGGTGACGATGACGATGATGATGACGATGGCGGTGACGATAACAAGGATGAAAATGATGCTGGTAATGATGGTGATGGTGATGGTGACGATGACGATGACGACGATCATGCTGGTGACGTTGACGATGACGATTACGATGCCTATGAGAATGATGGTTAGGGTGAGGTTGATGGTGATGGTGGCACTAACGATGACCATGATGACAATGATGATGATGGTGATGATGGGGATGATGATGGTGACGAAAACGACAATGACTACGATGATGGCGACGATGACGATGACGATGACGATGATGATGATAATGATGATGATGATCACTGGTGATAACACTGATGATGACGACGGGGTGTTGATGATGGCGATAATGGTGATGACGGTGATGGCAACGGTGACGATGACGATGATGACCATGATAATGATGATGGGAATATTGACGATGAAATTTTGAAACTCGTGATGGTGACGGTATTGGCGGCACGGGCGATGATGATGACGATGATGACGATGCTGATGGTGACGATGACGATGCGAATGACGACGATGACGATAGTGACGATGATGATGGCGAGGATATTTTTGATGACGATGATGGTGATGGCGATGGTCACGGCAACGGTTACGAAAACGATGACGATGACGATAGTGATGGTGCTGATGGTGATCGTGATGGTGACGATGACGGTGAGGGTGACGACGATGATAATGATGGTGGCTATGACTATGACAGTGATGATGAAACTGCTGCTTGGGACGATGATGATCATGACGACGATGATGTTGATGGTAATGGTAATGGTGGCAATGACGATGACGATGACGACGATGATGATGGTGATGATGATGACGATGGTGATGATGATGCTGATGATGATGGCGATGATGATGCCTACGATGGTGATAGTGATGGTAATGGTGAAGGTGGCGATGACAATGACGATGACGACGATGATGATGATGATGATGATAACGAGTCTGATGATGATGATGGCGATGATGATTGTGATGGCGATGGTGATGGCGACGGCGACGGCGACGACGACGATGACGACGACGCTGTCGCTGACGCTGACGATGACGACGACGATGACAATGATGATGATGGCAGCCATCATCATCATCATCATCATCGTGATGATCGCCCCCCGTCGGCGGACGGCGCGCGTCGCACAGCCCCCGCTCTGGGCAGGAGATAGCGACAATGGAGATGGCGATGGGGATGCCAAGGACAATGGTGAGGATGTTGATGATGACGATGATGAAGACGACGATGATGACGATGACGACGGCGACAACGATGAGGCCCGCGCCAGCTGCGGCCAGCTGGGCGCTGACAAAACGAGACGCGCTGCAACCGTCGCCAGGCGGTCCGTCAGCGCATGGAGCACTCGGCAATCCTCTTGCTGACGTGCAAGGAGCGCTTATTGGAGATGTCCGTGTTTCAGCTTGTGGTAAATTTTCAAACGCAATCAAAACGGGGTGGAGGTCGTCGGGCCGCTTGGCGCGGAGACCGATGCACTCGAATCTCTGGGCGGGCGGGGCCGCACCCAGCGCGGAGCGCACAGTGGGCCGCAACGGCGGGCAGTCGGCGCAATGAGCCCATTCATCCTGCGCTGCGCAGCCAAAAAAGCACCGGCGCACAACGCCCCCACGCATCCTCGCGCTTGTCGCCCATCCGCCCATCCAAATTTTCAGGGGCGAAGTCGAGATACGGGCGCGAGATGTCCTCATAGTGGCAATGAGGGCGTCAAAATCGACGCCGTTGACGTCGCTGGCACGCCCCGGCCAGCGGCGGCGCAGACGGGCCCCGAGCGCGCCCCAGATGCTAGCTTGGAGAATCCTTTTTGCAAGCATCACGCACGCTCTCTCCTGGACACCCTTCCGCGAATCTAGGCCCATGGCGACCGTCGACGGCGGCGGCCGCGGCCCTCGGGAGGCGCTCGGAAACAGGCAAAGGTTGTTTAAATTGTTTAGGAACAACGCGCGCGAGTGCCCATGCGATTGCCGGCGCTCTCCAGCGCGGAGCCCACGGCTCCGGGCGACCAAGATCAGCAGGAGAACGATCCGGAGCAGCCCGGTCGGGCGCCCGCCGAAGCCCGGCCAGGGGCGTCTTCCAGTCTAGCACGACGAGCGCGGCGCGGATCAGCGCGGCGACGCATGCCAGGGAGACGGGGGCGACATCGACGGCGCCGCACTCGGAGGCGCGAGCCGTGCCACGAGTAGCGAAGGTAGACGGCGGAACGTGCCCGAGCTCGTCGATGACGCCAGTCTCCGCTTGCACGAGGGCGCGGGGTGGGAGCCCGAATTGGGCGACGCGCGGCATGCAAGGAATGGCTTTGATATTGTACTCCTTGATAGTGGCGGCGGTGGGGCCCTCGGCCTGGGCGCGCGCGTCGGCTCGCAGCTGCTACTTCCTCGTCGGTGCCCCCCACATCTCGGCCGCGGCGTCAGGGCCCATGAGATAACCGAGGTAAGACGCAACCTTCACGATGGCAAACTGGATCCACTCCGGGACGATCGCCCGCAGCCGGTCACGGATCGACTCGACCATCTGGATCGCGAACGCGGCGATGAGAGGAATGAGCTGGCACTTCTTGGGTTTCAGCTTCATGCCGGCGCATATTCGCACGTGGTCGAACGCGCTGGCGCACCCCCCCCCCCACCCCACCCCACAGTCCGGAGTTCGAGGATTGCGGCTCCAACATCGCCTGCGCATGCACGCGCGGCCCCGAGCCTTTGGAGGTTCACGGCGCGCCGCATCCTCTCCGCGAACGGGCGCGTCGACACAGCGAAGACGGAACCACTGAGCGGGCGTCCTTGCAGAGAGCCGCCCTCGAAGAATTAAGCGAAAACGCCGAAAAAGAAAGCCATGTTAAGGTGGTAGACGACCTGGAAGAACTCGAGGATGCCGCGCGGCATGCCGCGCGCTGCAGATGATGCCCAGATCCACCTGCGCCGCAAGCTGGGGAAGGCAGCAGCGATGTTCCAGGAGGCGAGGACAGGCAGGATGCGCGCGTTCGACGGGCGGCCGCAGGCCCGGGCCTCGCAGTCGAGGTCGACGATGTCCTGGGCCAGCCGCCTTCGAGCAACGAAGCCCTGCTGGATAGGAGAGACGCCCGCGGAGACGACGCTCCTCAGCATGATGTCGACAATGCTACAACAAGTTGTGTTGTCTGTGTTCTTGAGACTCAACGGTCTAATGTCTTCTGGCTTCCAGATGATCTCGGCGGCGCCGCCTGCCTCTGAGCCTTTCGGGGGGAAAACAGGCTCGGACATGTCGAGGGCAAGCGACATCGGAAAACCGGAAGGCATATGGAGCGCGACTTGGAGGAGCGCCTCCGCGCCCCAGTCGCCCGCGCGCTGCCAGATGGAGTAGGCGAGGCCGCCGGGGCCGGGGCTCGAGTCGGTCGCGCTCTTGAGGAGAGGTGCGTGGAAGGCGCCGGCACCGAACTCCAATGGAGCGGGGCCACCCCCCGTTGAAAGAACTCTGCAGCGGTGGCGCCATCGGCGACCTGCTCGCCGAAGCGCGGAGCCCACGCGGTGGCCAACGATTTGGCCCGGCCCCGCGGGTGGCGGATGAGCAGGTCACCGCCGAGAGGTTTCGGAAACAAGAGGGCTCCAAGAACAAGCTTCTTCGAATACGAGAGGTGCAACTTGGCTTTGCTCTTGATGGCGCGCGCCCGGGAGCGGAGCTTTCCGGCGACCGACGGGGAAGAGCGCGACGCGGCACCTTGCTCACGACGGTCAGCCTCGGCAGCAGCGTCGGCGGCAGCGATCTCGTCGAAGGCGTCGACGAAGCCTCGGGGATCGCGCAGGGTGACGCGCCCCTCGTCAAAAGAGACAAAGTTACGACCCTCCGAGAAATTTGTGAGAACTGCCTCGGCTAGGTCACAGTCGCCCTGCCAAACAGCTCGTGCTGGGGAGGCCATGGCGAGCTTTTGCGCGAGGTCGGTGTCCGGAGTAGTCTTCAAGATCATGTTGCGCACGACGCGGCCCGTCTCACGCATGATTTCCATGCGGGCCCCCCACCGTGTGACCGCGGGCAAAGCAGACAAGTTGACGCTCATACACATTGTATCGTGAATTTCGCGAAAACGGGGATGAAGAGCCACATCTCGAGGAATGACTTGGCGATGAGCGGGTCGCGCAGGCCTCGGGCCGACGTGGGCCGCGACGGCAGCGCGGTCACTGATCTCCTGGAGGCGCAGCCGCAGAGGGTCGTCGAGCACCGCGATCGCGACCTGGACGGAACCAATGGCCCAAGAGGGGATCGAACTGCATATGCGGTCCAAGCTGGCGTACGCGCCGTTTGCGTAGTGCGTGGCTTCTCGGGTGTCGCAAGCCGTGCAGAGATTAACGAGGTGCTTCCAAGTTGAAACGTGCTGCGAAGAACGGTGGCGCTCAGGGGCAAAGGGGTCCCGGACAACTTAAACACATCTTCGTCCAACCGCCGAGGAGCCAGACGGACTTGGAGAGGGGGTCGGCCTTCGCAGAAGTAATGCGTTCGATTGCGAGGTTCTTGATGTTAGCGAGGTCGCGGTCGTTGATGTTGAAACGGTGGACGGCCCAGGCGGTCCAAGTGTAGTTGCCAGCGTTCACAAAAAAATGCGAATACGTCGCACTCGGGAGGGAATCCGGCTAGAGGCAAAGATTTCCTTACAATTGCGATGACACCGCCAGAACTCTGGGATCCGGGTGCACCTGCGACCCACCAATCGCACACCACGTCGGGGAGCAGCAACTGGAAGGCCTCGACGGCGCAGCGGGCTTCGGCAATGAAGATGGTGGTGTTCGTCTTGAGGAGACGCCGGAGGTAGTCGATTTTGTCCTTGCGCTGGTAGTGCCTGCTGGCGTAGAAGCCCTGGGCATTCCAAAAAGAAAACCGACGCCGGCGGAAGAGGCCCCCGCAGGGTCTCACGATCTGTTACCCGTTCCACGTGATGTCCGCGAAGCGGCCCTTCCCGTACTCGGCAATCTTCCTGAAGACGGCGTCCTTGTCGATCTTGTGCGACTCCCACACGGTGAACTGCCAATTGTAGTAGACCTCGCCGGGCTTAGGGGAGAGTGCCCGGGCGACGGGGTCGGAGTCGACGAATAAGATACCACCGGGACGCGCAATGCGCAGCTTTCCGCCCAGAGCGGGGTACAGGGTGAGGACCGTTTTGCGCAATTCGCGCAGGAGGCTCTCGTTGCGCTCGGTCTTCGGGTTCTTGTTGGGGCTGACGAAGAGGTAGGCGGTCTCGGTGCCGTTGGCGGCCGGGCACTGTAGTTTAGTCCACTCGCCGTCCCTCCTCTGGGCAGGGAAGGTGCGGGCGGCGTTGATGGCAGCGCTGCAACCCCTGAAGCGGATCTCGAAGAAGCGTCTGGCCGGTGGGCCGCAGATGGAGGCCTGGTCTTCACCGATATTGGCGGTCTTGAGAAGCTCGGAGAACGAGCTCCAGACGGCCGTCTTGGCGGCGTAGGCGGAGCAGCGGAGCTTGAGGATCGATGGGGTCAGGCATGTCGTCGTCGCCGAGCCCTGCGAGCTCGTCAGGAGTGGGCCAGTCCCGTTTCTCCGCGAGGTTGAGGCGCCGTTTGATGTCAGCGAGCTCCTTCTCCAAGATGTTGTAATTCCTCTCCGAGTCGCTTGTGAGATCGCTGAGCTGCTTGTCAATGCTGTTCTGGCGTAGGGTGAGCTCCGCAATGTGCTCTTGCAGCTTGGCGTCGTAGGTCTTGAGGAGTTGCCCAACGTGGTCGCGTTGTGAGCGGTTGAAGTCCTCAAGCGACTTCTGGAGGGAGTCATTCTGCTTCTTCTCGAGATCGTCGAGAAGTTGCTGAACGAAGTTGCCGCCGCGGGCTCCGTGATCCTGGTCCCTCGCGTGCAGCAGCGGCTGCGGACTCGCCCATGCTGTCAGTAGGGTCAGCACGAGCGTGAACGTGTAGAGTCCGATCGAGTTCTTGAGGATGGTCGCCGTAAACGGCTTCAGCAGAAGCTGCCAGGCTGCAATGCTGGGCAGCACGGCGGGGCGCGGGTGGGGCGCGGCGCGGCGCGGGCACCCGAGCACTTGAGCCAAAATGGTAACGGGCAGATGATGATGATGAAGAAGATGAAGCTGAAGATGACAGTGATGGTGATTGTGATAATGGTGATGGCGATGGTGACGATGACGACGACGATGACGACGATGATGATGATGGTATGATGATGACGATGATGATGACGATGGTAATGATGATGATTACGATGATGATGATGATGATGATGATGATGATGATGATGATGATGATGATGATGACGATGATGATGACGATGGTAATGATGATGATTACGATGATGATGATGATGATGATGATGATGGTGATGATGATGATGATGATGATATTGATGTTGATGATGATGATTATTATGATGCTGATGATGATGATGGTGATGATGATGGTGATGATGATGATGATGGTGATGATGATGATTTCGCTGGACCCTCGAGTGGGAACGACAGGGGGGACTGGCATGGGGGGAAGCATCGACCTGGAATCGGCGATACATCGCCGATAGATGGGCGATAGGCCCCGAATAGCGAATGCGCGCGTTCCTGGGCGGGGGGTGGGGCTATCGGGCCCCTATCGGCGATAAATGGACGAGTGGGGGTCGATGCATCCCACCATATGCGTATCCCGTATCCCCCACTATCGTTGCCCCTGATTTCTGCCCGGGGGCGCGACCTTATCTGGATAACTCGAGAAAGAGGAGGATAAAGGATACGTAAGCTGGACGAAACCAGGACGAGGATACATCGGGTGAGGATGAATCGAAAAACTCTGAGACACGGCGGCTCTGGAGGATGTATCGGGTGCATTTATCGGGCGTCGCGGCCTTCTCAGAGCGTTCCAGAACGCTCTGAGAGAGGTCCGGAATGCCCTGGAACGGATGTATCCTCGTCCTGGCCGCGTCCGAGCGAGAGTGGCCCAGACATGCTCGCGTCTTGACAAAAACAAAAAAAACAAAAAAAGGGCGGGAGGCACTTGGCCGTTTTCGACCTCTGAGGGCCCTCGCGAGGCCCTGGGACTGTCAAAAAACGGCTCGGGATGAAAGAAGGGGTCCCAAGGAAAGGGTTGGGACTTCCGGGGACCCGGCACGACCGGACCTAGGACAGCAGAACGTCCTGCAAGAACAGGAGACCCTCCGCCGGCCAAACTGAAGGACATTCGAGGGTACCCTCCCCCAGGATACACGAGAACATCCCACAAATGCGAAGACCATCGGAGCACCTTCCCCGAACCGACCTCGAGCTTGTACCTCGGTCCGACAGCATAGAGAAGACCCAGGCGTGGCACGCCTGGGGGCCCTGAGGAAGGAGGCGTGGCCTCTGGGGCGCGGCTCTTGCTGGCCACCGAAGCCTTCGACGCGGCAGGAGCGGCCCTCGCGCCTCCGCGCGCCCCGCGGGCCAGCCGCGCTCCAGAGGCCCCTCTCCGGCGGAGAGGGCCGCTCGTTTCTGGGCAAGCGCGTTCCACTGCGCGCACAGTAGCTACTCGCAAATGGCCTGGATCCGCCGCGGGGGATCGGGGGATCCACGATGCACCGCATCGAGGCAGGCCCGTGTTTGGGGGACGTTTGCGAGCAGGCGCTTTGCGAGTGGCACGCGCTCGGCGATTTTCGTGCAGCCGAGCCTTCTTCGTCTTCGTGACCGGCCTCTTCAGCACCCGGCGCCCGAGCGCCATGACCGCACGCGCGCCGCAGGGGTCGGCTACACGAGGCAAGAGTGACCCTTGGTGCGCGGCTTGCCGGCCGCTGGGTCCGGTGCGGCAGAGGCAGCCTGCGCGCTTAGGCTTGGCCCCGAAGCCAGCCCCCGAAAGCCGCGCACCAAAGGTCACTCCGACGAAGGGCCACTCTCACCGACAGTGCGCCCGCGCTGGAGGCCAGAGCGCCTGCGCACCGGCCGACGACGGGGGCACCCCAGAGCGCCGACGCCGTGATGCTTTCACAACACGCGGACCCCTGGGGGCCTGGAGCTGTCCCCCGGGGACTGGCTCCTCAGCCTGAGTAGCTGGTGCCACCCCTCAGATCTGACGCTACAGCAGAGAGTGCAGCGTCGCGAAAAATCACGACAGGAGCCCCAGGCCCCATCTTTCTGCGCCATGGTTCGAGCTGGATCGCTCTGTGAGGGTCCCAGGGCCAGATGCAAGGCAGAATCCCCCGTTGTAATAGACGGCCAGAACAGCGCCATCTACCCTCTGAATCAGGCTCGCTGGCGAGCGATGAGCTCTCTGGGTGGCGCCCCTGCCAGAGTTGCGAACTGCTGCCGCGGGCCTGGTGCTGCGCTCAGGCACGACCGGCGCAGCTCGATGCCGGCACGGCCAGGGAGAGGCGCAGAACAGTCAGCATCGAATCGGGAAAATCGGATCGAATCGGAACGTGCGTTGGATCGAGTCGAATGAGCACGGCGTCGAGATCGAATCGGATCGGCTACGCCAGGATGCACAACAGTGCCGTGCAAACATCGGGCTGCATCGGATAGTCGGGGTATCAGAACCGAATCGAATCGGGCCAATCGAAATCGATATCGAATCAGATCGATCGGATCGAAATGGACTCTGGAGGGGGGCCCTCGAAACGGAAGCTTCGACTTCCAGTCTGCAGGTTGCTCCCCACCCCCGTGGTGGGGGTGCTACGAGGTTCTCAGGGGGGGTCCTCCTCCCAGGAGGGGGACACGGAGCCGCCCAACACCGCCCCCGCGCCTTGGCCAGCGGCGTGGTGGCGCTGTGGGCGGTGGTGGGGCCATCTGCAGAGCGCGCCTGACGCGCGGTCGCGGTGGAGGGGCCGCGGGGCTGATTCCTCCTCCTCCTCGTCCACCTCGTCATCATCATCATCATCATCATCATCATCATCATCATCATCATCATCATCATCATCATCATCATCATCATCATCATCATCCTCATCATCCTCATCATCCTCATCATCAGCATCATCAGCATCAGCAGCGTCAGCAGCATCAGCATCAGCAGCATCAGCATCTGCATCAGCATCATAATCATCATCATCATCATCATCACCACCATCACCATCACCATCACCATCATCAGCATCACCATCACATAAGCGTCATCATCACCACCACCACCACCATCATCATCATCATAATCAGCATCATCATCATCATCATCACCATCACCATCACCATCATCATCATCATCAGCATCATCATCATCAGCAACAGCATCATCATCGTCGTCGTCAGCATCATCATGACTGGGCCCTCCGGCCCAGTGCCGATCCAAGCAATTCACGCGCAGCTCCGAAGATTTATGGTTATGCCGTTGATTTATCTTTGACTCCTGCCCCTCCTCCTCCTCCTCCTCCTCTTCCACTCCTTCTCCTTATAAATAAGTTCTCCCCGTCGCACCCCGAGGCCAGTTTTTAGGGCGGGCCGGGCGTTTCGCCTGAGACCTCCTCACCATTGTAACCCTGAAGCTAAAAAACTGGCAACAGTTTCACATATGGAAGGCGGGTCGTTTTCAAAAAGTGGCTCTCGCCTTAGCGCCGCGCACGTTCGCCCTAAGAATCCTACAAGAGTTCCACGGATTGAAGGCGAGTCGTCTTTTTGTAATGTGGCTCTCGCCTTAGCGTCGCGCACATTCGCTTTAAAAAATTGCAAGAGCTCCACGGATTGAGGGCGAGTCGTTTTCAAAATGTGGCACTCGCCTTAGCGCCGCGCACAGTCGTCTGCAAATTTGCAAGAGCTTCACTTCCTTTCAAAAAGTGGCTCTCGCATTAGCGCAGCGCACGTTCGTCCGAAAGAAATGTAAGAGTTTCACGGGTTCCCATGATCAACGAACCAGAAATTGTCTTGGAAGGACTCAGGCTTATGAGGGTGCACAAGCTATGTTGATTCGCAGTGTTCAGTCCAAAGAATGGCGTCCTGGCACGATTCAGGATCGTCAAGACGCAACAATCATGCTGATCCCGAGAGCAATGTTTTAGCATGCGTCCGGGTCTTCAAACATTTGTCTTCCAACGAAGCAGATCCTTCGGTAAAAATGAACCGTTGTAGGGACATATGAACTGGGAGCTTGGAGGGAGGGTTTATTCCAAAGTCGTTGATGCCTCTTGGGTTTACACTGGTCCCCTCCTCCTCCTCCTCCTCCTCCTCCTCCTCCTCCTCCTCCTCCTCCTCCTCCTCCTCCTCCCCCAAAAGACGTCTACGGCGACAGCAAAATCGAGAATCGACCGAACCGACAGCGAGACCGAAGCTGGACCGACCTCGGACAGGACGAACGCAACCCCGAAAGGCGCGTCGACGCGGCAATAGGCCGAACGACCGAGCGCGGCTGACTGGCACGCAGCCGACAGAGCCGAGCCGTGGACCACGGGGACACCAAACGGCGTCGCGCGCGCTCAAAGAAGGAAAGGGATAAGGAGAAGGAGAAGTAGGCGAGGAATAATACTATGAAGAAGAACATATGCTTTTCACACAACAACAACAACAACAACCACCACCACCACCACAACAACCACAACAACAACAACCATTTTAAGGCTGTACGCTCTTACTTGCCCGCGAGTCATTCAACACGTATACCCTACACCCTCGATACCCGCCCTCTTCGTCTTCGATCACACCCCTTTCGGGGGGATTATTTCTCTTTGCTGGGGCTGGCGGGCTTAGACGTACGGGCAAACCGGAACGGGCGGACAATCCTTCGGGGGCGTACATCTCTCTGCCCGCCATTGGAATTGGCGCGGGCCCTGCAAGAGGAGGAGGGGAAGAACGAGGGAGAGTGGGAGGAAGGGGAGGGGGAAGGACGAAGGAAGAGGGAAGATACCACGTTGTGAAGGCGTCCTTGGCGCGTGCGTGGTTCCTGAGCGCCGAAACGCAATTCCAGAATAATTTGTGAGGACGTCGCACGCGAGAGCGCAGTCCTGAGTACATTGTGAGGAAATCTCAGGCGGAAGCGGGGGCCCTGACTAAGTTGCGAGGAAGTCTCAAGCGGGAGCGCCGTTCCTGAGCAAATTGCACGGAAGTCTCAGGCGGGAGCGGGGGTCCTCACTAAATTGCGAGGAAGTCTCAGGCGGGAGCGCCGTTCCTGAGTCAATTGCGCGGAAATGTCAGGCAGGAGCGGGGGTCCTGAGTAAAATTCGAAGAAGTCTCAGGCGGGAGCGCCGTTCCCACGTAAATTGCACGGAAGTCTCAGGCGGGAGCGGGGGTCTTGATTACATTGCGAGGAAGTCTCAGACGGGAGCGCCTTTCCTGAGTAAATTGCGCGGAAGTCTCAGGCGGGAGCGGGGGTCCTGAGTAAAAATCGAGGAAGTCTCAGGCGGGAGCCGTTGTTGTTGTAGCCCGGGGGGCAGGGGCACAGTTTGAGCAGGAAGACTTTCCTTGAGAAAAAACAAGGTGCGAGCCCCGGGGGTGGCACTTCAATCGAAAAAAATCAATGTGCACCGGTGGGGGGGGATCAACAATAATTATTCTTCAAGAATGAGAGTTCAACAACAACAACAACAACAACAACAACAACAACAACAACAACAACAACAACAACAACAACAACAATCACTTTACCCGAACGCTCAGTGTTCTCACCAGTGCCAGGGTTTTCATGCGACGCCAGCCAATACCCCCACTTTGTGGGGGGGCAGTGCAAGCTCTACCAAATATCCACACGACTCTTCGCCACCACCCACACCCAGCTTCCCGCCCTATGACGTTCGGACACTTCACTTCGTGGCCTGCGGACGACCGTGGCTACTACACTGGCGTGGAGTACACACCCACAGAAGTTGTTAAGCCTACGTTCGTACACCCACAGAAGTTGTTAAGCCTTGTTAACCCACAGAAGTTGTTAAGCCTTCCACAGAACATCTGTTGCATATGATGCATATGGTACATGATACACATGATACACATGATACGTACTCACAAGATAGTTGATCACATCTTTAGGGCAAATTCCTGAGGGATGTGGGAATACACAAGAGAGAGAGGATATGGTTGTCCCGATGGTTGTCTCGATGGTTGTCCCGATGGTTGTCCTGATGGTTGTGGTTGTCCCGATCGTTGTCCCGATGATTGTCCCGATGGTTGTCCTGATGGTTGTGCTTGTCCCGATCGTTGTCCCGATGACTGTCCCGATGATTGTCCCGATGGTTGTCCCGATGGTTGTTCCGATGGTTGTCCCGATGGTTGTCCCGATGGTTGTGAGCGATGCCGGATCCTCACGCCCCCCGCCGGAGGGTAGAAATTTTGAAAAGTCGTGCAGGTGTTTTTCGAGGACCTACGGTGCGATTCGTGTGATTTTATGATGCGCGGTGCTAAAATTCTTAAGAAGCCCAATGGTTTTTGGAGATTTCGGCGTGCGCGCGCGAAGAAAAAACGAATGTGTCCCGCATGGTATTATTTGACAGGGATGATGGCCCTGGCAGGTGCGCAACCGTTGTCGCAGAAGTTCGAAAAAGTTGCTCGCAAAAGCCCGTTTGACAGAAATGTTTAAAAAGTGTTGGGTTTCCTACGAATCCGCAAGAGCGCGCGGGATGAGATTTTGACATTTTTTTGTTGAAAAACCATTGGTTTTTTGATGTTTTTATGTTAAAATCGCTGCGAACACTAAGGTTTTGGAAGGATTTCGTCTTGCGCGCGCGAATGTCCACTTTACCTTATTTTTTGCAAGGGATTCTTGAAATTTGATTATATTAGAACAAGAAATGTCATTTTCTATTGTTTTTTGCAAGGGAAAGCGGATTACAACAAAACAACCGGATCCTGTACACACCCTCTTTTCTGAGGCTTCCTCACGAAAATGATGAAAATGTAGCTGCGGCCTAGGCGGCGCAGGGGGGGCGCGCACCAGGGGGCCCAACAATAATTATTCTTTAGAATAAATAATGTTCAAACGAACTTCTTCCCATACATACGACGATGTGCTTGTTTAATGCGCGGCCCCCTCCCCAGGTGTGCTCTTTCATCCCAGAACCTTGGTCGATTGTCCTGGGGCCCAAGAGGCGGGCCCCAGAGGCCGAAATCCAGTAAAAACGCCAGAGATCTGTCTCATTAGAGGTCGACTTAAACTTCGGCGACAACCAAAGTCATCCGGCTGGGGGGATGGGCTGGCCGATGACCCCATCTCTTCACTTTGGGCAGCCCCGCACATGCCCGCTCGCCTCAGCACTGCGCACCCCCTTCGGACCACCTGCGCAGCCGACAACGTCAGATAATCTGGGTGGGTGGGCGGACGCGCGGGCCCGATAACCCAGGCCATCGCCGGGCTCTTAGATCAACTCTGCTGCTATTCCCTTTGAAGACCCGCGCGCGCGCACGCCCTGCGCTGCTGGGCGGCGTCCGCGGGCGGCCCCGGGGATCGCAGGCCCGTGTCCTGAGAGGCGGCGGCAAGGGCGACGACCCGATATGCCGACGTGGCGCCGGCTGGGCGGCGACCAGACGCGGGCGGCCAGCGCCACCCTGACGGGCACCTCGGTAGGCCCAGACCCCCTGGCGCCGTAACGGCATCGCGACGGGAGGCGTTGGGCGGCTTTGGGCCTCCGGGGCCCCTCGCCGGCCCCCGGGACCCTCGAACAACGGCTCAGGACGAAACATCGGTCCCGGGCGATGGGTCGAGACCCCAGCGGGCCGACGGCGTGAGCAAAGTGGGGCGTCGGGGGTCTGGGGACGGGAACCTCGGTCGATGCAGGACGGTGGCGCTTTCCTTCTGCTGTCCTGCACGCACCCCTGCGCGAGTGGCACTCTCCTCTGCCACTCTCCTGCCGCCTTCCTCTGCACTGCCGAGATCTGCTTTACTGGGCACTGCGTCACGCACCGAGAAGTGCACGAGCGTGCTGCAGACATTGCACTCCAGATCGGTATTGGGAAGGGTAGCTACGTCTTGAACCACGTAGGATTCCTGGCGACCCCTCGGGTCTTCCTTGATTACCCGTCCTGGTTACGCTGAGCCTGGACCCCGACCAGACGCAGGCACAAGTCGGGAGGGGCCGGTGCATCCGCGTCGACGACGCATCGGCGATGCATCGGCGGCATCGGGGTGGAGAAGATCGGGCTCTGTATCGTGCCGTGCGCGCGGCCCTCCGACTCCAAGCGTCGCGACAAAAAAAAACAAATGGGGGCGTATGCTTTGTTCGCCGTCTCGTTCTGCAACTCTGTCTGATTCCTCCTCCCCCTCCCGCCGTCCTCCTCTGATTGTTTCCCTGCTTCCCTTTCTTGCTCCTCCAACAAGGCCATGCCAAAATGTGATGGTACTCGTGACGAGGCGGTCGGGGCGATCCCGAACAGTACGCTAAAATCCAGGGAGGTGTGAGGGAGAGGAGTGAGGTGGATCTGTACAATGAGTGACACATGTCTTCCTCCGACGCAGGCCTCTTTCGGGCGCCGAGACAAGAAAAAAAACTACCCGCGACGAAAAAACTGTCCCAGGGATGAGGTCAAGAGCTCGGTGGGGCCGCGTTGTGAGAACTCGTGACGCTGGAGGGGGGCCAGGGGGGGGACCTTGGGGGCGACGGGGGACAGATGGCATGGGAGGGATAGAAAGAGAGAGAGAGAGAGAACAAACAAAAAACAGAGAGAGAGAGAAAGAGAGCTGAGAGAAATCAGAGAAAATCCCCTAACAATGCTTGCGCTGGGGGTGCAGCGCAGATCCAAGAAATCCGCACGGACCGTCGACTGTTAATGTCTGTGAGCACTGTTCTTCGATCGAGGCAGGGCCAAAAGACGCGCTCCGTCCAAGCCCGCCCGACGAGCTGCGCAGCGCGGGCGGCACTTTGCGGCTCCAAGGCGAGGTCACTACCAAGGTAGTGTCCAGAGCTCCCTGTAAAGGTCTCTGGGAGTCTCTCGAGGCCCTCGTGGATGCCCCAGACCCCTGGGTGCCCGAAAAGGACCAGAAGCGTCCCCTAACTTCTCAGACTCGAACCTCGAACCTCCATAACCCAAGGAGACCCAAGCGAGCGGCACTGAAGCGCTACTCACTGAATCGCCCAGTCAATTGGCCCAGGCCGACTGGGCGTCACCACAACCGTGTATGTGTGTATGTGTATGTGTATGTGTGTGCGTATGTGTGTATGTGTCTGTGTGTATGTGTGCATGTGTGCACGTGTTCATGTGTGCATGTGTGTATGCGTGTATGTGTGTAATGTTATGTATGGGTGTATGCGTGTATATGAGTGTATGTGTGCAGGTGTGTATATATATATATATATATGTGTAGGTGTGCATGCGTGTATGTGTATGTGTATGTGCATGTGTATGTGTATATGTGTACGCGTATGTGCGTATGTGTGTATGTGTATGTGCGTATGTGATTGTGTATATGTATGTCGATGCGTATGTGTATGGATATAAGTGTATGTGTATGTGTATGTGTGTGCATGTGTATGTGAGCGTGCATGTGTGCATGAATGTATGTGTGTATGTGTGTATGCATGTGTATGGTTGTATGTATGTGTATATGTATACGTGTTGTATGTGTTTTATGTGTGTATGTATGTATGAGTGTATGTATGTATGAGTGTATGTGCATGTGTGTATGTAAGTATGCATGTATGAGTGTGAGCAGGTATGAGGGTATGTATGTATGTGTGTATGTGTGCATGTATGTCTGTATGCATGTGTGTATGTATATATGTAAGTGCGTACATATGTATGTATGTACGTATGCGTTCATGTGCGCATGTGTGTATACATGTATGCATGTGTGTATGTATGCATGCATGCATGCCTGTATGTGCGTATGTGTGCATATGTGAACGTGTGTATGTGTGCCTGGATGCATGGACGGATGCATGTATGTGGGTATGTATGTATGTATGTGTATGTATGTATATGTATGTATGTATAAATGTAGTTATGTGTGTGTCTGTGTGCCTGTGTGCCTGTGTGTCTGTGTGTGTTACGGAATCGGTGCGCCAAGTTTGCCGGAAATGCCAACGGAGAATTTCGGGCCCCGATGACCTGCTCCTGGTGTTGTAACTGGCTGATAGGGGGAGAGATGGTCTTTCCTGAGAAATAACTCAGGCTCGGGCTTGGGTTCGGGCAGCGGGAAAATCCAAAGTTCGAGTTCGAAACCCCCAAGAACCCAAAGTTCGAAATAAGTTCAAGACGGCCTCGTGGCACAACGACAACTTTTTCCAAACTGCACCCAAACTGTTCTGAAACTTCGAACTTTTTCGAACTTGTTGAATTATGTTTTGAGAACTGTGTTGAACGTTTGATCTTTTGAAATTTTGAACTTCTGAACTTTTCGGGGAAATTTGAACTTGTTTGAGCTTTTGAATTTTTTCCTAATTGTTCCTCGCCGCCGAGCGCTATCTGAACTTTTTCCGAACTTGTTTCTCACCACCGAACTTTTCCGAACTTGTTTCTCGCCGCCGAACTTCTCCCTAATTGTTTCTAAACTTCAGAATTCCAGCAACGTTGAAATTGAACTTTGTAAGAACATTGGCCTCACACACTTTCCGAACTTAGGATATTTTGACATAAGGACCGCTCGCGCCCCCTCAGCCTGTTACAATCCTGGTGGAAGCGCTTTAGCGGGAGCCCCGCCGAGGCTGCGGTTCTCAACGGTGCGACCAGGCAGGGGGCCGACCGAGCAGCTCGCCCCACGGAGGGTGACGCACCAACTGGCTGAGCCCTGGGCCTTCTGGGGTTCCGGGAAAGCGGCTCCCGAAATTGTGAGGATGTGCAGATATAGGCCTCGTGCGCGTGCGCGCCATGCACGCACGCCGATCGCTGCGGGTGCGTCGCGCCCCAGCCGGAAAATTTGCCAGGGCGCTCCCGGGCGCATCGCGATGGTTCCCCAGGGCTTGGGATCGGGATCCAGTCGACATCACCCGAGCCCGCACTGGAGGAGAGGGGCGCAGCATGGGCTGCCCCCTCATTATTCTAAACGCCTTCCAATCAAAACCGTTCGCACGCAAGAGGATGGTAAGAGACTTAATCATGTTTGCCAGGCCAATCGCCGGGTCACATCCTAGAAATATGTTGTCTGCCCAGATCCAATGATCCCAGGTCTCCAGCGGCTCTAGATTTCCCGTCCTCATCCGATTCCCTTCTTGTTTCACTCGTGCTCCCTTCACCTCCATTCCCACGGCAACTTCCTGGCCCCCGCAAACGAAGACGATGGCAAACGGGGACGTGGACGCACCCCAAGAAGCCGCAGCCGTGGGCCGAAACAGCATGCATCCCTCGCTCTCCCCCCGAGTCTGGCAGTGTCCTTGTTTCCAATGCCACCGACGGCTCGCCGAGGAACCAATCCAGGACGGGACGCGAATCGCTCCGATGCGCAACACGTAACCCGTAAGCTGTTTACACAGAGCCCAACATGTATATTTACAACTCTGGCGCGACACATTCGGCGCAGCGCAGGCCAACACGTGCTGAACCAACACGCATCGTGTGCAATTGACCTGGACGCTTTGACATTCCGACACGCGCGAATCAGGGCGATTGAGGCCGAGGGGTATCTTTCTGCCGCGGAGCCGGTGTCCAGCCGCGGCTTGCGGGAAGCGGCGGCGGCGCCGTGGGGCCCGCCGGCGACGGCGGCGGCCGCCGCCGCACTCGCGGCGGGTCGCTGCTGAGCCGCCTGCGCACGCGCGCACGAGGCGGGCGCCCCCCCAGAGGCTGGCAAGGCTGTGGGGTTTCTGCGCCGCACTGATGGCTACTCGGTAGACGGCGACCCCAGGCCACCTTGACTTTGCGCATCACGCCCCCCGACGCGCGATTCGATTCGCGCCCTCGCGCCGCTCCCGGTGAGAGCAACCGCTCTGGCCCAGATCGCGGAGTGCGCAGCGCGATCATCTTTGCGCTTCCGCGGGGGACCTAGGGGACCTCGTTCGATGCAGGACGGTGGCGCTTTCCTGCCACATTCCCACATACGCCTCGCGAAAGTGGCACCCTGCTCTGCCACTCTCCTGCAACCTCCTGCTCCTTCCTGCGGGGTACCCGTCACGGTGGCGCTGAGGGCTGCGCATAGGCAGCCCCGCAGAAGCAGTCCAGGCTGGCCTCAGCAGAGCGGCGAAGGAGAAGGGGTCTCACGCACGACGGCGCCGCGGACCTTGCGCGGTGACTTGCCGCGGGCTGCCCAGGCAGTACACCGCGCGGGGGAGAGGGCGCTCACGCGGCCTTACAGTCATCGTGTCACTGCCCGGACCTTGCAGACGTGCTGCAGCGGATCTTTGCGTGGATTTCTGTCAACGCAAAAGCCCGAAACGGCGAGTGAAAAACAAAGTGAATTTCGCGTGAATTTCCTTTAGTCATCATTCCTGGCCCAAAAAAATCCGCACGAAATGCACCTCGAAATTCGGAACGGAATTCTCCAGGACACTCCGCGCCCATCCCATCGCTTTCCGGACGAAATCCGCTCTGCGATGTTGGCGCCATGAACCGTGCCACCACGAGGAGCGCTGAGCGAGGAGCGAAGACTGGCCTCCCCGACCACGGCGCGCCTCGGCCCCGCGCGGGTCCCCCGACCCAGCTCCGAGGAACGGCCCCGAACCCGGAGCCCCGCACGAGCCCGAAGTGGTCTTCACTTCAGCGTCGCGGCTGCACGCGGGCGGCTTGCGCACCGGTCTCCGCGCAGTCGGCCCCGCCGTGGTGCCGGGTCGCCCTGCGAGGCCCCGGGGCAGCCCGGGGCGGCCTCCGCTCCCCGACCCTTCCAGCACGAAGCTCCCCAGGCGGGCGCGCAGGCCGGCCGCCCTGCCGAGCTCCCCTCCTTCCGGCTCCCGTCCCCGGACCTCCGACGTCGTGACTCTCTGAACCCGCGGGCCCCAGAGCGCTCGACACCCTCCCAAGGGCAAGTGCGTCGCTCTGGACCCTTTTCTGGCGGCCCACGGGGCCCAGAACGGGCTTCCAGAGGCTGGCGAAGGCGAACAAAAATTCGCCTTGACGATCTCAAGGCGTCGATGGACTGGGTCCCTAGGTCCCCAGAGGGCCTTGAGACCTTAGGGGGCCCCTGGAGGGGGGAACAAAAACAAAAACCAAAAAACACGCCATTCTCGAGCCTCGATCCTCGTCGGCGGCGGCGAGGGCAACAGAGACAACGACGACACAAACGGCGACGACGCAAACGGCGACGACGGCGACGATAACGACGACGACGACGACGACGACGCCGACAACGACAACGACAACGACGACAACAACAACGACGACGACAACGACAACGACGACGACGACAACGACGACAATATTAACAACAACAACAACAACAACAACAACAACAACAACAACAACAACGACAGCAACAGCAACAGCAAAAGCAACAACAACAACAACAACAACAACAATCATTTTACCCGAACGCTCAGTGTTCTCACCAGTGCCAGGGTTTTCATGCGACGCGAGACAATACCCCCACTTCGTGGGGGGGCAGTTCAAGCTCTACCAAATATCCAAACGACTCTTCGCGACCACCCAAACCCAGCTTCCCGCCCTATGACGTTGGGACACTTCACTTCGTGGCGTGCGGACGACCGTGGCTACTACACTGGCGTGGGGTACACACCCACAGAACTTGGTCACTTATTCGGGGCGCGCGTGTGCCCAGCATCCTGCAATTGTGACATACAATACATGACACAGACAGACAGAGAGAGAGACAGAGAGCAGACAGAGAGAGAGACAGAGAGAGCGGAGTTGGTCACATTTTTGGGGCAAGTTCCTAAGATCGTCGTGTTTTTTGTTGGTCTTGCGCGCGCGAATGTCCACTTTACTTTTTTTTGCAAGGGAGTATTGAAATTTGATTATGTTAGAACAAGAAAAAGTAGCTCGCGCGAGCTCATGTAACATAAATGTTGAAAAACCATTGGTTTTGTGGGAGTCGGACAGCGCGCGCGGGATGAAATTTGGACATTTTTTTTTGAAAAACCATTGGGTTTTTGATGTTTTTATGTTGAAATCGTTACGAAACCTAAGGTTCTGGAAGGATTTCGTCTTGCGCGCGCGAATGTCCACTTTACCTTATTTTTTGCAAGGGATTATTGAAATTTGATTATGTTAGAACAAGAAAAAGTAGCTCGCGCGAGCTCATGTAACATAAATGTTGAAAAACCATTGGTTTTGTGGGATTCGGACAGCGCGCGCGGAAGGACATTTTGACAATTTTTTCTTAAAAAACCATTGGGTTTTTGATGTTTTTATGTTAAAATCGCTACGAAACCTAAGGTTTTGGAAGGATTTCGTCTTGCGCGCACGAATGTCCACTTTACCTTATTTTTTGCCAGGGATTCTTGCAATTTGATCAAGTAAGAACAAGAATTTTCATTTTCTATTGTTTTTTGCAAGGGAAAACGGATTACAACAAAACAACCGGATCCGGACACAATCCACTTTTCTGAAGCTTTCGCGAAAAAATGATGAAAATGCAGCTGCGGCCTAGGCGCGGCGCAGAGGTCGCGCACCAGGGGCCCCAACAATAATTATTCTTAAGAAGAAATAATGTTCAACAACAACAACAACAACAAAAACAACAACAACAACAACAACAACAACAACAACAACAACAACAATAACAACAACAACAACAACAACAACAACAACAACAACAACAACAACAACTACTACTACTACTACTACTACTACGACAACAACAGCAACAACAACAGCAATAACAACAACAACAACAACAACAGCAACAGCAACAACAACAACAACGGCACCATCAACAACAATAACAGCAACCAGTCTGTTGAGACTGTTCATTCCTGTCTGCTCGCGTGACACTCAACACGTATATCCCAAACCTTCGGCACCCGCCCCCTTCGTTTTCGACCGTACCCCCTTGGGGGCATATCTTCTTTAACTGCAACGTGAATTTGGTGCAGCCCCTAAAACAATGGAAGGAAGGACGGATGGAAGGAGGAAGCAGGATGGAGGACGAGAGAAATTAGGAGGGGGGCTCGGAGCCGAAAACACGTGGTATACACGGGGGGTATTACAGTTTTGACCATAAGACGTCATGCTCTCGACGCCCCCTGCCCCCCCGTAGAATCTTAGCGACATGTTTTGGGTCGGGCGGCGGTTCGACTCCGATGGGCTCTAACCCTGTAAGAATATATATATATATATATATATATATATATATATATATAAAACAGGGTGATAATTACTCCGTCCCATTTAAAATAGGGCCGGAAAACACTCCGACTTGAACCCATTCACAGTAAACCACTCTGCTTGGGTCACGTTTGATCGTCCGTGTCATCATCCCCATCGACCCTGTCCTTATCATGCCAACGCGACGCTTCATTGCAATCCTTGTTGCATTGATGCTGTGAGACCCTGGGCATCCTTCTCCAATGCGGTCGCTCTCGGTTCACTGGTTGGCCGTCCCAGAGGGCCCACAAAGGCTCGCGAATCCGCATCAAGGCACCTTTGCATCCTGATCGGTCCTCCGCGGCACGCGTGACCAGCGAGGCAATTCTCATCTTATGGTCAAAAACTTTACTACCCCCGAAGTAACCAGACTGGCAGATCGGGCGGGTAGACTCTAGCGGGCAGGTCGGGAAGGCGGGCCCAGGCGGCCAGATCCAGCAGGCGGGTTGCTGAAGCGTGCGTTCTGCATGAATCGCGAGGACGCCTCAAGCGATAGCGCGATTCCCAAGTAAATCGAAAGGAAGGCCAAAGCGAGAGCGTGATTCCTGCGTGTCGAGGGCGCGGCGTCTGAATAGATTGCGAGGAAGTCCCACACGAGAGCGCGATTCCTGCAGAAATTGCCAGGGAATCCCGCGCGAGAGTGCGATTTTGGAATAATTAGTGAGGGTGCATTAGGCCGGAGCTGTTGTTGTTGTTTCTGGAGCCAGGAGGGCCAACAACACAGTTTGAGCATGAAGGCTTTCCCTGATGAGTAAACTGGGTGCGAACCCCGAAAGGGGCACTTCAATTGAAAAGTATAATGTGCACCGGGGGGGGTCAACAATAATCATTAGAATGAAAATTCAACAACACCAACAACACGAATAATCATTTTAAGACTGGTCGCTCTGAACTGTTCGCGCGTCCTTCCACAAGTGTATCCCAAACCCTGGGTACCCGCCCTCTTCGTCTTCGATCTCACCCCCTTTGGGGTATACCTGTCTTACCTGCAAACTGCACTTCATGCAGCACCTACGGCAGTGGAAGAGAGGACGGACGGAAGGAAGGGACAAGGGGGAGAGGAGGATGGAGCACGAAAGAGAAAGTGGCAGGAAGGGGGCGAGAAGCAGAAAACACATGGCAGAACCAGACGGGCAGATCGGGCAGGTAGACCCTAGCGGGCGGGTCGGGAAAGCGGGCCCAGGCGGCCAGGTCCAGCAGGCGGGTTGCTGAAGCGTGCGCCCTGCATGAATCGCGAGGAAGTCTCGAACGATGATAGAGCGATCCCCAAGCAAATCGCAAGAAAAGCCACAGCGAGAGTGTGATTCCTGAGTGTCGAGGGCGCGGCCTCTGAATCGATTGCGAGGAAATCCCACACGAGAACGAGATTCCTGCATAATCTGCGGGGAAGTCCCGCGCGGGAGCGCGATTTGAAAAATCACGCGTAGATTGTCGCCGTTGCAAACCAGGGGCCCGGGAGGCAGTTTGTTGACACCACGCTTTCCCTTGCAAAAAGGAAGGTGCGAACCCCGAGAGAAGCACTTCAATTCAAAAATGTAAAACGCGACGGGCAAGGGCGATCAACGAAAATTATTGTTCAGACGCGAGAACTCAACAACGACGACGACGACGACAACAACAATCATCATCGTTTTAAGACTGCTCGTTCCTGTCTGCTCGCGTGCCATTCAACACGTCTATCCCGAACCCTCGGTACCCGCCCTATTCGTCTTCGATCGCACCCCCTTGGGGGCATGTCTTCCTTACCTGCCACGTGCACTTTTTTTTTCCAAGGCTCCAACCCCAAAACGAGACGTGTTTTGCTGCCTGCACACGCTGTGGGCGCAGGCCCCAAAAGGTGTAAACAATCACGCATTGCTTACTCGGGCCCTCCAAGCCATCGGCCTCGCCCCTGCGAGGCACTCCCAGAGCCAGAATTGACAGCAGCAACAGCGCTTCCTTGCACACGGGAGGGGGAGGAGGAGGAAGAGAACTGCACAGCGGCCTGCTCGCGCCAAGCGCGGGCGAGAAAGCGGTGACGGCGAGACGCGACTCGCAGTCGAGTTTCAAAGTGTTCCTCGGGGGAACCTGGGAGTCCCTTACGACGGGCGGCGTGGGACGACAGAAAAGCATCAACACAAGCAGCAAACAGAACAATAGCCGAGCGTGACGAAGGAGGGAGGAGGAGAGCCAGGGAAAACCCCCAGGTAAGGACGACGGCGGAGGTAAGGTATGTCCAAGCCAGCGAGAGAAGAGTTGAACAAGCCGAGTACAGTGAGCATAATGATCAACAGAGTCGAGGTCCACGCCGTCCGTGCACGGGCATCCCAGGAAGCACCCCATCGGTCTGGTGTGGAACCTGGCAGAGGTACAGACCGAGCGCGTGAGCACACGAAGCACGGATACTAGAAGATAAGGTTGTGTTTTTTTGACCAGGAAAAAGGCATTGATATAGAAACGAACGATGTGAGTCTGTTGGACCAGGGGAAACCATTGCCGTATACGACGGATCAGGATACATTGAAAGCTTTCCCTCGGAGGTGAGTTGGACCAGAGCATCTGATACAGTGACTGCTGCAGCTTCGGGATCACATCGGGAAGCCTGCACAACCTATCCAGAAGCACGGGGCCTGGCGGGCAACGCGGTAGAGCAAAGTACCAATGATAAAGACCACGCATGTATGCAAGAAATGAAGTTGCCCACCAGCCACAGCGCATGCGGGCGAAAACGTGATCGGGCTCGTCTTCAAGGGCCTCGAGGTGGCAGACGAGCGCGCCAAAAGAGTCATGTTGGATAATATAGCGAAGACATACAGCACGAGATAGCGCGACAATATCTTGAAACTCGATGGGCAGATGCATAGCAGACAGTTGGGTACACATAGCATATGAGATGGCATTACGAGGCCCAGCCGTAAGACACATCACAGCTTCTTTGTATATATGTATAAGTTGAGCGGATACAGCATGAATTTGCATGATGAAAGTGAGCGTGGACACGCACATGACGCGGAAAGCAAGAGCGGAGCGGGCGAGGCCAAGACGTAGCTGACGGGTCGCTCTGACACGACGTTGAAACTTCGGAGCCGCTTCTGACCACGCTAGTGGGGCAGCCCCTGGGCCGATAAATCTGCCTAAGTATTTGACCGCACTCAGGACTTGGATGAGCTTGAAATCACCTTTGAGCACCCGAACAGAGTCCCTCAGGAGGTCCACATTATGGGAGCCGACGACCAGGATCTGACATTTTTTGAAGTTAAGCCCGGGGCCAGCAATGTTTTCGAGCCGCGCCATCAGGGCGAAGAGGGGGCCCAAGGAACGAAGAACATCAGGTAAACCAAAACAGAAGTCGTCGGCATAGGCGAAGGTCCTGTCGATGTGCGATGAGGCTTTGAAACGAATCCACCTTAAAAGCGGATCTGCGGCAAGAACGAACAAGAGCATACTGCTAGGGCAACCCTGCTTGACACCACTGGCCACGCTGAACTCGCCATGCGTGCGGCCACCCAAGGAAATAATAGCAATGTTATTCTGGCATAGCATGTGGAAGAACTTACACACGTACGGGCACACACGCATGCGCGATAGAATATAAAGCATCCAGGGCATTGCTAAAGACGGAAACGCAGCACAGAAGTCTGCCATGAAAAGGGCGGCGCTCGGGCGATCCACCACGTGCTGCTCAAGCCCCCAGCCTTCAGCGTCCACAATATTGGTCAGCATGTCTCTGCCAGCAACGCATTTTTGATCTGTCGAGATGATACGTTTGGTGTTTTCGGCGAGCGGCAACGCAATGGCACCAGCGAGCAGTTTGATATCAGTGTTAGACATGCTGAGCGGGCGCGTGCAGCTGGGGTGGCGACCTATGGAGTCGGCCTTGCCCCTGGGATCCGTACCTTTGGGGAGGAAGACCACGAGGCTCCGCCTCATCTCAACTGGCAGCTCAGTCACGTCATCTGTGAACAGGGTGAGGTAAACATCATATAAGATACGAGCAGCCTCAGGAACCTTCAAAACCCCATAAGGAAGACCATCCTCTCCAGGCATACTATGTATACGTGCACGTACGTAGTCAAACCATTCCCCATAAGACAGCTTCCAGGCTCGAGGGAGGGGTTCAGGGATAGTCTGAGCGAACGCATCGACCTCTGGCCAGAGGGACTGATCAAGTGGAGGGGGGGTGAACACAGACGACCAGTAGTCTTTGAGGACCTCGGCGGAGTGGTCGATAGACCTGCACGGCATCCCAGAGTTATCATATATGCTAGACAGATATGTGCGGCTCTTGAACTTGCGCCAAAGCTCCTGCTTACGGGCGATGCGTTGCTTGTGAGATGTCTTGACCTCCGATGGGGTATCGGCCCAGAAGGACGAGAACTCAAGGTCATGCGATTCCTGGTCAAGCAACTGCATCTCGATGGAGCGAATGAGCGCGCAGAGGCCATCAACACGAGCGCATTGGAAAGAAACGAGGCAGAAATGAGACTGCAGCACGGGATAGCAACGCAGAGCACGGTGCACGAGCCAAACCTTGCCCAGGCGCCAGCCACGGAGCGCCTGTAAAGCCCAGTACTGTTTAAGCTCGAGAGTGTCAGCAATCGCGCGCTTGACAAAGTCGCGGACGTGGGCAGCCGCGACAAACATCAGCTCCTTGAGCTGCGTGAGACGTTCCCATGGGCCTAACTCATTAGACATTTCAGCTATGGCGGCTTCCAGAAAGCGGGGAAACTCCGGGTGCTTGAGGATCCACTTCGCGATGCTTTTGTGGCCGGCTGTGGGCCGATACGGTTCGATGCTGACCACGATCGGGAGGTGGTCGCTTTCCATCTTGGCTTTTAGACGTCCCAGGACACCACAGCGAATGTCTAAGTCACGTAGCATAGCTTGAGGAAGGGATGAATACGCTCTGTCGAGGCGCGCGGTGCTTTTGACGACCCCGTCCCTGACCTCCCTCCTCGTGTCCTGCCCCTGGTAAAACTCGGTGACGCACGGGAAATGACGCTGAAAAAGACGGGAGTGAGCTCGGTCCCCAGGCTTCCAGCCAGAACCATCAGCTTGCATGCGACCTTCCTCGACCAAAGAGAAGTTGAAATCACCGATAAGCACGCGATGGTCATGAGGGAACCTCTGAAACTCAGCACGCAACATCAGGAGCGCCTGCGCATAAGTGTTGAGCGAGTCGCTCGCGTTGGGGAGGTGAAGGTTGAAGATGCTGAGGGAGCCAGCAGGACCAGAGAGACGACTATGGAGGATACGACCAGCGATGACAGGGCGGTGCTCGACAGAGGAAAATTGACGGCAAAACTGTGGGCTCAATATCGCCACGATCCCTCCCTCCCTCTGCGAGTCAGGAAAGAAAGATGATCCAATAGAGTAGCAAGCACTGTCCGTGTCCAGCTCGCGGTGGAGCTCTCCGATATCGCCGATGTGACCGTGGGTTTCTTGGCAACACATTATATCGCACCTTTGGGAGAGACGGGGGATGAGGTTGTAGCGCGCGCTGGCACGCCAGGAGGAGTGCTTGACAGAACTGAACAGGGCGCGTGCATTCCAAGAGCAGACAGACAGGCGAGTGCTAGGGACGAAAGGAAGAATATTGGGGGAAGGGGAGAAATACGAGGCCTCGTCACGCTCAGGCAGAGAGACAGAGGGCAGGGGGCATGAAAGGCCACCTGCGGCGTGTGCGCAGTGAGGAGCCGAAGTGCAATCTGCTTCAGCGTCTAAAGGGACGCCTGATCTGCACCTGTGCTGCAGCACAGATGGCCTCAGCTTGGGCCTCCAGGCCCAACTGACGAATCCCCGCCATGTCGAGCTCGACCTTGGCCTCCAGCGTGTCTTCGCTCACCTCGATGCGCGCCAGCTCGACTGCCTCATGCTCCGACTTGCGTGCGAAAACGATGCCCCCAAGCCCGCTGCTGCCCACTTCAATGGAACGAGCCGACAACTGCTGGGTGATGAGAGAGCGGACGCGGCCCATGGAGAGGAAGAGCTGACGAGCTTTCAAGTCCTGGTCACGCTTGATACGCATGTTCAACATGTCCTGAGGCACGAGTGGGTCGGGGAACCGAAATACACCATCACGGGTGAAATTGGCGAGGAAGTTGGACGCATCGGCAGCCTGCTCGAAGTCGAAAGTAATCTTCTTCGCCATGTCAAAACATTTTACGTTGATGCGGGTCTGGACGTCCACAGGCGCATACTGGGCCCTGATGGCGTCTCCTATGGTCTTCAGCGAGCGCGCGAGCATCTTCCCTGGGAAGCCGACCGCGATGAGCTTGCAAGTGTTCTCCTGTTGCGTGAGTCGGGAGGAAGATCTGCGTGAGCGATCCGAGCTGCTTGCCGTCGAAGGCGGGGTCGACAGAGTACGGAGTTACTTCTGGATGTCATCGATCTGCGACTGGACATGCTTGTGAGCGGCATCAGAGTCGTCCTCCATGTTGAAGTGAGGTACAGTCGAGCGAGCCTCCAGCGCGGTCAGCTCATTCTTGATCTGCTCAGTAACGTGCACTTTGAGGGAGTCGAAGCGTCCATTCAGGTCCATGTACATGGAGGACTGTTGGCCTTCGATTTGGGCGATTTTGTTCTGTATGTCCGTCGTGAGGTTGTTCATGTTGGCGGTGAGTTGGTCACACCGCTGCGTCTGGGCCGAAATCTGATTCTTGATCAAGCCAATGTCGTAGGACTGCGTGGACAGAGCCGAACCAAAGCCACGGAGCGTACGAAGAACTTCATATAGCTTCTCGTCACTCGACGGTCTGGATGTGCGTGGGCGCGCAGGAACATCGGAGCGGCTGCGAGACGACTCACTTCGTCGGCGACTGCTGATCGTTTGCGCCGAGGGCGATCTCGACGAGTGACGGCTCTGAGAGCGGCGAGTCACAGAGCGCCGGTCACCTGGCATCGTGGCCGCTGTGCAGTGAGAAAGGGAAAGGAGGGAGTAGAAGTAAGTGCAAAAGCTGCTGGGTCCTGGCCAGGGCGGGCCACCTGTGGACCAGCGGTTGGCGCTGTTCCTGCCCAGCTGGCTTGGTAGATGTCGTACTTGAGCCAAAATGGCTAAAACGAAGAAAGACAGAACGGATGCAAGGGGGAGGGAGGATGATGGAGCACGAGAGAAGTTAACAAGGGGGGGGCCAGGAGCAGAAAAAAAATTGGCATAACCAGACGGGCAGATCGGACGGGCAGACCCTAACGGGCGGGTCGGGAAGGCGGGCCCAGGCGGCCAGGTCGAGCAGGCGGGCTGCTGAAGCGTGAGTCTGGCAAGACCCGCGAAAAAATCTCAAGCGATAGAGCGATTCCCAAGAAAATCGTGAGAAAGGCCAAAGCGAGAGCGTGATTCCTTAATGTCGAGGGCACGGCGTCTGAAGAACTTGCGAGAAGTTACCACGCGAGAGCGCGATTCCTGCCAGAAGTGTGACGACGTCCCTCACGAGAGCGTGATTCTGGAATAATGCGCGGCGAAGTATCAGGTGGGAGCCGCTGTTGTTGTAAGCTGGAGGCGAGGGGCACAGTCTGAGCCCCAAAACGCTTCCTCGTAACAACCAAGATGCGAGCCCCGCCCAGGGAGGAGCACCTCAATCGAAAAAAACAGAACGGGCACCGTGGAGGGAGATCATCAATAATCATGCTTTAGAGATGAGAAAGCAACAGCAACGATAACAACAATCAGTTTAAGACTGTTCGTTCTTATCTGCTCGCGTGTCACTCTACATGTAAATCCCCAACCCTCGATACCCGCCCTCTCAGTCTTCGATCAGCCCCCGTTGGGGGTATATCTTCCTTAACTGCCACGCTGAGGGGGGCTAGCAGCAGAAAAACAGGTAACGGTACCAGACGAGCTGCTCGGGCGGGGCGGGTCGGACGGGCGGGCCCAGACGGCGAGGTAGAGCGCCGTGTCGCTAAAGCATTAGTCCTGCATGAGTCGCGAGGAATTCTCGAGCGATAGCGCAATTCCTAAGTAAACCGTGCGGAAATCCACACCGAGAGCGTGATTCCTGGGTGTTGGCGACGCGGCGATTGAACAAGTTGCGAGGAAGTACCACGCGAGTGCGCGATTCCTGGATAAATTGTGAGGAAGTCCATTGCGAGAGAGCGAGTTTGAACAAATTGCGAGGAAGTATTAGGCGGGAGCCGTCATGATTGTAAACTGGGGGCCAGCAACTTGTAAACTGAGGCGCAAGACTTCCCCTTGAAAAAGAAGAAAGCGCGAGCCTCGGGAGGAGCACTTGACATGAAAACCAGAAGGTGCACCGGGGTGGACCAACAGTACTTCTTTGGAAAATAGGAATGAGAATTCAACGACGACGACGACGACAAGGACGACACCGACGATCCTGGCCAGGTCGACGCTGAACCCGGGATTTGTGGGTGCGCCTCGCTGGCCGCCGCCTGGAGGGCGGCGCCCGCCCATCAGGGGCCCGGGCCCGTGGCTCATCCCGTCGACGAGGACGAGGACGAGGACGAGGACGAGGACGAGGACGACGACGACGACGACGACGACGACGACGACGACGACGACGACGACGACGACGACGACGACGGCGGCAGCGGCGGCGGCGGCGGCTGCAACGGCGGCAGTGGAGGCGGCGGCGGCGGCGGCGGCGAGGAGGCGACGACGACGACGACGGCGGCGGCGACGACGACGACGGCGACGACGCCGCCGCTTTCACTGTGCACGATTCGCTTGGCAAATGAGCTAATGTGGCCCTTCTTGGGGAAAACAAAAAAGACCGATACCGCTAGTCCCTGGACTTTTCCTGGAGTACGCTCTGACCAGGATTTCGAAGCGAATCCAAAGGCGGTGACGAGGGCCTCCCAGGAGGCCCAAAATGGCGAACACGAGGAGGGCTAGCAGGTATCGGTACTTTCTCCTCCTCTGAGCGCATGTGGCCCTTCTGCTCTGCGCGCGAGGCGGCGGCTGCCAGACGCCGGCCATCGTCGATCAGCCGTGGCCTCGCCTGCGAGCCAGCGCCCCGCGGCGAGGCGGCCCACGGCGCGCGGGCGGGGGCGCCCGGCGACCTGGAGCCTCGGGGGCAGCGGGCTCCGAGCTGATCCCCGTCTCCAGGACTGACCCCAGAAACGCGTGCGTTGCGAACAGAAGTCTGTAAAATGTTGGCCGTGTTCGGCCTCTGGAGGCCCTCACCCGGCCCCAAGACTGTCAGAAACTCCTCGGGATGAAAAGCCGGACCTGGGGAAAGCATGGGGACTTCCAGGGATCACGCACTGAAAAAATCAAGACATCGCATGTCTGGGACACGCCCAGGGCGATGGCAATCTCCAGGATGCGCCCCCAGAAGCTGGGCGCAAATGCCCAGGATCGGCACCGAGATGCGGTGGTGTCAGTCGTGGGGATGGGAACAGGTAGTGTCTTAGGCTTCGCGCGGACGCCGCCGCCGCCGCTGGCGTCGCCGACAGAGACGTCCGGCGCCTCGAGAAAATCGGGGCGGCCGGTTTGGTGCAGATTTCGGCCTCTGCCGGCAGGTCTCGGGCCTCGGGGCCGGCAAAAAACGGCTCGGGTCGAGAGGCCCGGCGCGCGAGCTTGAGAACAGCCTGAGTTTCGGCTCTGCCAGTGGGGGGGGGGGAGCGCCCCTCACGTTCCTCTTTCCTGCCCCCGCCTCCACTGCGCCGCCTTGCTTTGCCTTGCTGACGGGCCGGTTTCCGTTGCGTCGTCTCGTTTTCCGATGCCTCGCACTGCTTGGCGATGCTTTACTCTGCACCTGCTTGGCACTGCTTTGCTTTGGACTGCTCTGCACGCTGTGCGTTGCCAGGCACTGCTTTGCGTGGTTTTAGACTGCACTGCATTGCATTACTTTACATTGCTTTACTTCGCCGTGCATGCATTGATTTACTTTGCTTCGAGTGGTTTCGCACGGCTTCGCTTTGTCTTGAGTTGTCTGTGCTTCCAGCGCATCGAATCCCACCAGCCCTCTGGGCGTAGGTGGTACCGATATTGCGTGTTCCTCTTCCATGTGATCCAGCGTGGGCCCCAAACAGTGCGCTTCTAGCACAATATGGTATGGATATATGTGGAACAACCTGCGCGGTGTACTCTATGTTGTCCCACATATGCGGCGCACTCGACGGCGCGCGCAATGGACGATGCGCATGCTATGTGGAGCAACCTGCGCGGCGCAAAACATGTTGTGCAATACACGTGCAGCAATATACGCGGTGCAATATATGTGGCACGATCTATGGTGCGCAATAGATGTTGTGCAATCTACGTTGTGCAACCTGCGCGGTGCAAACTAGGTTGCGCACTCTATACGGTGCAATATATGGCGCGCTGTCTACGTGGAGCAATCTACGCGCACTCAAAACTTATGCGAATAAATCTTCAAATCAGATATTGAAATCCAGTTTCTCTGAATTTCTTAGCCCTCTTGCGAGAGCCAGCCTTGAAGCGTGCAGTTTCTTTGCGCAGCGCGGCGCCAGCGTTGGCGGTTTTGATGGAGATTGCGCTGGTGATGACGCCGATTGCGGGGCTGGGGGCCCTGCAGCAACGCATGAAACATAACATGCAGGAACATGTTTTTTCCTTCCTCACCGCAGTCTAGATGCTCCCTAGCTGCTGAGCGACCACATGCAAAAAAATCGACGATGAGTCGACGTCGCAACCAATGGCCAGCACCTCGAGCCACGCAGTCGAAACCGCGTCGCCCGCGGTACCGCTTTGCCACGTAGGGAATGCACTAAGAACGCTGTGCCGCGGTCGAGGGTCTCGACAGAAGCCTCTTCAACTGGGGGTCACCCAGAGCAAAGGAGCGGCTCTTCAAACCTACACGCAAGCAGATCATCGGATCGGTGGCCAACGCCTCACAGAAGACGGCCCTAGCGGCAGGGGCGCGGGCAATGTGATTGGTTGGCATTGCGGCAGTCGACAGCGCTCTGCGTCTGCCGCTGGCAATCGTCCCCGCTGTTGTACATCCACTGGCAACTGTTGCCTGGCAAGTCAACGATGTCGAAGCAGTAGCGCTTGGTGCACGGGTTCGGTTCACAAATCGGGCAGCCGTTCCTGTACAGGTTGTAGTCCCGGCACATGCACGCCCCCTCGGTGGTTTGTGCGCAGTCGTCGCCGGGAGGAGTCTTCATCCAGCTGCACCCTTTTGCCATCGGGCCTGGCACGTCGGTGGCGTCGCATATCGTGCCCGTTGCGTTTGCGCCCTGTCCGTGTTTGTGGACGTCCGCCTTGCGCGCCAAGAGGGCGGCCTCGTCGGCGCCACACTCGCCCGCGCCGCACGTCTCGTCACCGGCGGCCCCGGTGGCCAGCAGCAGCAGGAGACAGGCGGCGGCGCGGCCCCCGTGCATCGCGGCGGCGAAGAGACTTCTAAGCTGCCTCTGCGCGAGCTTCTCGAACGCTGGCGACTCCGAGGGTCGCTGCCGGGCCGAAGCGGCTTGAGCCAAAATGGCTACGGTGGCGGGGGATATGGACGAAGACCGGCGGGAAATCTGAAGGAAGATCTGGAGAAAGATCTGGGGAATATCTACAATAGTAGGGAAATCTCGAGGAAGACCCCGGTGAAGATCTGGGTGAAGATCTGGACGAAGATTTGGAGAAGATCTGGGGAAATGGAGGAAGATCTGGAGAAACCTCTGGTGGAAGATCTGGGGGATAGCTAGAGGAGAGATCTCGAGGAAGACCCGGGTGAAGAGCTGGGTGAAGATCTGGGTGAAGATCTAGGGAAAGACCTGGGTGGAGATCTGGGGGTGATATCTGGAGGAAGATCTGGGTGATGATCTGGGTGAAGGTCTGGAGGAAGATCTAGAGAAAATTTGGGGGAAGATTTCGGGAAAGATCTGGGGAAGCGTCTGGAGAAACATCTGGTGAAAGATCTGGGGGAAGATCTGGAGGAGAGATCTCGGTGAAGGTCTGGGTGAAGATCTGGGTGAAGATCTGGGGTAATATCTCAAAGACTATATGAAAGAAGAACCGTGGGAAATCTGGAAGAAGATATCGGAAAATATGGTGAGGGAAGATCTGGAACAGGATTGGGCGGAACATCTGGAGGCAGCTCTGGGGAGAGATGTGGACGATGATCTGGAAGAAGATCTGGAAACCCAGAGGAAGATCTGGGGGGCGAAATGAAGAAGAAATGGAAGAAACCCAAAAGGAAAATCAGGAGGAACAGATGACGAAAGATCTGGGGGAAGATCTAGAGAAACATCTTAGCCAAGATCTGGGGGAAAGTCCAGGAAGAAATCTAGGACAATGTATCGGAGAAGATCTGGGGGAAGATCTTGTAAACAGTTGGAACAATTGGAACAATTGGAACACTTGGAACAATTGGAACAATTGGAAGATCCGCGTTTCGCCCCCAAGAGAGGAGGAAGAGGAGGAGAATGAGGAGGAATTGGAAGGGAGACAGGAGGAGGAGGAGGAGGGATAGGATCCGCGGGAAGATCTGGGGGGGGAGATCTGGTGGAAGATCTGAGCGTAGATCTGGAGGAAAATCTGGAGGAAGATCTGGGCGAAGATCCGGGGAAAATCTAGGCAGATGAACTAGGAAGATCTAGAGGACGATCTGGAGGAAGATCTGGGGAAGATCTAGGAAAATCTGGAGAAAGATCTGGGAGAAAATTTGGAGCAAAATCGGGGGAAGATCTAGGAAGATCCGGGGAAGATCTGGAGGAAGGTCTGGGGAGAACCTGGAGGAAGATCTGGAGGAAGATCTGGAGAAAGATCCGGGGAAGATCTAGGAAGATCTGGGAAAGATCTGGAGGAAGATCGGGGGGGAGATCTAGGGAGATCGAGAGGAAGGTCTCGAGGAAGATCTGGGATAAGATCCAGAAGATCCCGAGGATGATCAGGAAGAAGATGCCACCGTTAAGAAACTGGGCCAGCTTTTGGGAATTCGTTACCGACATTGTAAAAATGAAACCCAGCTTGGCGGGAGAGAGTTTCTTAACAGAAAATATATAAGTGTAGTACAACCTGTGTGGTGCAATATGTCTTCTGCAATATATGTGGTGCAACCTACGTGGTGCAACCTATGTTATGTGGTGTAAGCTATGTTGTGCAATATGTGCGGCGCCATCCACACTGCCGAAGTTGAAGTTGTCAACTCCACTGCTCGCGCAATCATCCCACATCCCACACACACACGAAACGTGGTTACAAAACCCATGCGGCGGCGACTGCGATTGCTGCTTGGCGCGGGCTGGCACATCGCCGGAGCCGCGTTTGCGAGCGCAGGCTCACGCGCAGAGCGACCAGCTAGCCCGGCGCGAACAACGCGGCTGCGGTAACGCTGACCGCCGTGGAATTCCCAACGCGTCTTACACGCCGTTCTGACACGCGAGCACGTCAGTGCGAGTCGGTGCCTCGAGCGGGCGAGGTAGCATGGCGACGTCGACAATTGCAGACACGATGATGATAGTAGCGGCGATGGTGATGACGATGACCATGATGACAGCAAGGCCAGGACGGCACCGATGCTGATCACGCTGATGACGATGATGGTGTCCAGGAGTCGGCGATGAGGGTTTTTTGGACGAATTTGTCGACATGCGCGCGCGACAGACGTGCGCGAGTGGCCCGCATGGTACTACTTGACATGGATAGTGCCCCCCCCAGCACACGGGCAAGGGCGTTCGAATGATTTCGACATGCGCGCGCGAGAGGCAAGTTTGTTTTTTTGGGGGGGCAAAAAAATACTCATGGTTCTATAAAGAATTCGCAACAACGCGCGCGCGCAGACTGATTTGAACATTCTTGTTGCCACACCACTGTTGTTGTAGATGTGTTCGGGGTGCTAGATTTTGAAACCCCTACAACATGTAAGATGGGTCGCATTAAATGGGGGAAAGGAATTCGCAAGATCTCGCGCGACTAAATTTTTGCACGGAACAAAACATTTATTGTCACGAAGAGACCTGTGGCTTTCGTCATAATTCGCAACAACAACGCGCGCGCAGAGTGAGTTGAACATTCACGATGCCAAAACACTGTTTGTATATGTGTTCGGGACAGCCGATGTTGAAGTCCATACGAATCCTCAGATTTTTGACACATTCTGGCATGCGCGC